CCTACATTTCCAGCATAAGCTTTCTCCTATGACTTCTGATTGCTCTAGACAGTTGTTCAAAACAATTTTACGACCCTCACCTTATATCAAGCATTTTCTATTTAGGCTCAACAAGCTTCCCGTTCCCATTGATTGTATTTAGCAAAGAATAACTGTAAAGTAGGAAGTCGAAGGTGAGAAATAAAGGCTAAAATAAGCTCCATTAAAAATTATGGAGCTTACTTAAAGTTGCTCAGGTTTGAATCTATTGGATTTCGCAAACCCTGGTTGCGTGATGTCATAGGAAAAGTCACCATTGAGAATAAGAAAATTATCCGAAAAAAAGTGTCAGCCACGTCGCTGATGCCCAGCACCTCCTACGCAGGGGAGCTCACGCTGTTCCTTGAAGCTTCTCAGAAACGCTTAGTACGAACGGACGCGAAAACCAGAACACAGATTGGCCACTCGAGAATTCTTTATTGTAACAACAACATATAGCCATTGTACAACTATGCTTTACAACTAAGGTCTATGAACAAATATTACAATAATAAATCACAATATTACTTCTGACGGTTGTCTCCTGACTTCTTTCTGAACAGCGACCGACGAGACGATGACTGGCGTATTGATGCCTCCGCGAAAGTTGGGGAAGTTGGGTTTGAGCAAACAACCACGAATCGATCGCTCAATCTTCAACTACATTGACACTCCCGGCAAAAAAGGGATCCAACCCTTTTTTCCTTCACGACCAATACACGTTGACTTGGATGCCATTGCGAGAACCTGGGTCACACGGACAGAGCTGAAATGGAAAACAAACAGAAAAGCCAACACACCACAAGCATACGCACAGCACAACCTCACACATCGATGAAGACCTGCGCCTCCAGATAGAGACCTCCTCTTGATATCTTGCAACACAATCGCCACTTGCTAGAATGACTCTTGCAGAATGCAGCGAGAGTGTGTTTCCTAATGGGTACTGGTTTCATATTTTTGTGTTGTTCACGAATTTACTGCCTTTGAGTGACTACCGGGATCTAGAATTTTAAGACTCTACAGTAACAACAATGAAGCGGCAAGATCCATAGTATTGCATCGAGACAGGCGGATTGTCTAAAGGACAACTATTTACTATTGAACCGGTTGATATACACTGGTTGGTGACTTCTGGAACAAGAATGAGGATACTCCTAAGTTTTCAGTAACGATCGCTCAGTAGGAGCTCTGTAGAATGGCTACGCGCGTAAGAACAGATATGTAATGAAACAGAAAAACATTAGAAAGTGATTAATATTGTTGTTCCCTTGGGTTCCTAGTGGAACATAGGGCTTCAACTGCACGTGTCCACTTGCTTCTGTCTTCCTTCTGCTGTACTTTTCACCTGCATCCATGTTAGTCCATTCTCTTTCAACCCCTCCTCTTCACACGATCTCCCCCATGTCACCCTTGCATTAACGACCCACTCGCTGCTTCCTTTTCGCCCTGGTTACACTACAGCAATGGCCTGACGCACGCGCGATGTCACCCAGCTGCCCGGCCTCCTCAGCCAGTGTCCAATCCATCTATCTCCACTTTTTCCCGCATATTTGTTGGTTGGCGATTGGTTCTTGTTTTGTTTGTTCCCATAGTTTCTTGTTGGTGATTCTTTCCGGCCCGGCCATCTGATCTTCAGCATAGATCCAGTGAAGACAGTTGTTGATAAAGGTAACGTCTGAAACAGGCAGTTGGAAATATTCTTTGTGACCCATCCGCCAAGTTTCTCATCCGTATAGAAGAACTGACTGATTTGACGTTTGTATTGAAAATCCGACCGAATTTTGTTGTTGATGCTGGCTGAGTAACGAAGATTTCCAGATTGTTTTCAGGTTGATGAGTGTGTTTCTCGCCTTCCCGATTCTCGCTCGATTTGACATCCTCGTCCGTTCCTCCTGTAGTTGAGACAATGCTCCCTAGATAAGTGAATGAAGTGACCTCTTTCAAATCCCTCCCGTTGATGGTGATTGGCACTGGATGTTGATGCTGTTGTTGTTTGTTGGTTGGTTATTTTCATAACCTCCGTCTTGTCTATGTTCACTTGGAGTCCTGTCTTTGCTGGCTGCTTCTTCGACCAGTTTGTCGGTTTTCGCTTGTAAGTCTTCGATTTTGTGTGACATCAAACATAAATCATCCACGCGCGAAATCCAGGTCTTCTAGGTTCTTCACGTCGGTCGGTCAGGATATCCCTGTCTTCTCGTTTCCCACTGTCTGACGCATAATCCAGTCCACCACAATTAGGAATATCATTGATGATAATAGGCACTCTTGTCTGACTCTTGTGTTTACTCCAAACGCCTCGCTGAGTATTCCGTTGTGGATCACTTGACATGTGCCGTTGTCGTACAGCTGTTGAATAAGGTTGATGAATATTTGGGGTACGCCGTAGTACTCGAGTAGTTTCCAAATTACTTCACGGTCAACGCTGTCGAAGGCCTTCTCAAAGTCTATAAAGTTGAGGTAGAGGTTTGATCGCCATTCCATGCTTTGTTCGATGATGATGCGTAGAGTTGCAATTTGGTCAGTACATGATTTGCCTGACTTTCCTGAATCCAGCTTGTTCTGGTCGGAGTTCTGTCTCCAGTGCGTCCTTTAATCTCTCCAGGATGATGCGACTCAGGATTTTACTTGGCGTCGACAGGAGCATGATTCCTCGCCAGTTCTTGCAGAGTGAGGCCTAAGTCTCCCTTCTTTGGTAGTTTCACGAGGTAACCTTTCCTCCAGTCAGTAGGCACCTTTCCCTCCTTCCAGACCTTTTGCAATAATGGAGTCAGCATGTCTGCTGTAGTCTCTGGGTCGGCTTTCAGTGCTTCAGGGGGTATTCCATCTGGTCCAGCTGCTTTTCCAGTTTTCAGAAGCTTGATTGTGTTCAAGACTTCAGCTTTCGTTGGAGGATTGGTGTCAACTTGCAGTTGTGTACGTGCTGTTGTTGGCATTTGTGGACGGGTTGCAGGTGGTGGTCGGTTCAAGAGCCCTTTGAAGTGATCCGCCCATTGTTTAATCTGTCTTTCTTCCTTGGTGATTGGGTTCCCTTGGCTGTCTTTTATAGGTTTCACTTGTGTTGATCTCTTCCCAGATAGAGACTAGGTTATCTGAAGTAGCCTCCTCAGATCCATTTTGCCTGCTGCCTTCTCAGCTTCAGTGGCCAGATTGTCGTAGAATTGTCTTTTGTCCTTCCTAGCACTCTTCTTCACTCCTTTGTCCAGCGCTGTGTAAGTTGAGCTCAGCGTCTCCTTCTCTTGCCCGTCTTTGAATTGAATCATTTTCCCTTTCCCCATTCTCCTCTCCTCTATTAGCATCCAAGTTTCCGTTGAGAGCCATTCCTTGTCTTGTCTCTTCTTTCTTCTTAGAACCGTTGAACATGCTTCGTTGAAAATCACCTTCAGAGAGTTTCAATGGTCTTCCACGCATGATTCTTCATTGATGTCGCGTAGTGTTTCCTCCTTTGCTCTGACAGTTGCAGTGAAATTATCATTTGTGGTTGTGTCCTTCAGTAATCGAGTGTTGAACTTGCATTGTGGCCTATCCTCAGCTATCCTCAAGGCCTTTAGCTTCACCTTGAAAGTTCCTTGTACTAGATAGTGGTCTGAACCCACATCTGCTCCTCTCCCGACCTTGTGTCCAGTAGGCTTCGTCTCCACTTTCTTGAAATTGAAATGAAGTCTATCTGGGTTTTAGTGTTTCCATCTGGTGAAATCCGTGTCGCCTTGTGTATATCCTTGTGTTTGAACACACTGACACCAATCACCAAATCATTGAACGCGGAGAAGTCTGAGAAGAGTTCACCATTGTCGTTCATTTCACCGAGGGTCTCATGACCCACGCTGAGTTCTCTTCCTGTAATGTCTCCTCCCAGCTTTGCATTCATATCGCCCATCAGGATTTTGATACCGCCATTTAAGACTCTTTGTAGTTGTCTGTAGAACGCCTCCTTCTTCTCTTGTTCTGAGACGTTTGTAGGCGCACAGGATTGAATGATTGTAACCTTCCTTCCTGTTGAGTTGAACGTGCCTGTCATTGTCCTGGAGGAGATTGGTTCCCACTGCATGAGATCTTTGGCTGCTGTTGGTGACATCATGATGACCACTCCCTCGGTGTGCTCGTGATTGCCCTCTGGGTGGCCGGAATAGATTTGGCACCTTCCACATCCGTTCTATCTGCTCTCACAAATTCCCAACACTTCTATTCTATATCCCCTCATTTCAGCGGCTACCCGGACAGCCTTTCCAGTTTTGTACATTGTACGAACATTTCACGTCCTCATCCTTACTTTTGCTTTCATCGAAAGAAGGCACATCGGCTGACTGGTTTCCCGAAGGCTTCACCAGCCTGCGTCATTTCACTTCCCCGATCGCAGTGAAAGATAAGGTTACTGTTCAAATTTTTAGAATTTTTAATATGTCTGTGCATTGAAGTCTCTGTAGCAGTTTGGTTAAGTTTTGGGGGTGGAGTTGCTAGCACCACGCCCTAACCCTCCCTATTTATCCGGGCTTGGGACCGGCTAGAAAACTAGCAACCTAGTGGTCTAGGCGTGGTTTTAGAGAATGTACTGGCACGAAATCATACGCCACTGACAAACAGTTGTTCGCTTTAATAAGGAGCAGTGTAACTGCACTTGCATCCTCCACAGATTGTAAACCTGCTAATTCAGGCCGGGAGACGAAGGATCCCACATGTCAGTATTAGAACTCTGAAATTGTATATTTCGTTGGTAATCTTACTTATCAATAGCATGGAGAAAATTAATGCATATATTGATTACAAAGCTTTGTAAAACATTGGAGATAGACGGTACACGGTAATAGGTATGATAAACATATTTGCCTCCAAAAGGATTAACCAATGAGATTACTGCGATCTTTGAACAAGGGTGTGGCAGCACCTTTTAGAAAACATCTGGTGGCTGTGTTTCAAGGCCCGTTTGGATTATTTAGACGAATGGACTGTAAAGTTATGACGTCTAACTGTTAAAAATTTCCATCATGGATTCAGAAAATAACTGTGATGTATCAAAAAGATGCAAATCGGGTGGGAAACACAAGTTGAAAGGATTTTATTTATTTGAGAGATGCTCTGGCGGAATACTGAACCTCAAGTTTGATTCAGATGTATTAGAATCTTTTTACTACAAATGTTCATACCCAAGTGCAAAGGGAAGGTTTCGTTTCGGCACGGCATTCTCAACGTTCTTGTCTGTTGTATGGTTGATATATTTCTCCATCGTACAACCTCCAAGTTATTTAATGTATATAAATGGATTCACTTTGGGTGCTGTAGTCTCCATTGCTTATTTCATTATGAGTTTTGTTGATAGAATTTTCAGAGCAAGAGCTATGTGCATTTGTAGTAGTCATGCTTGCATTATATGCTTACTTTCTTTGTTCACATTTGTTCCACCAGAACCTGGAGCAACTTTGGCTTTTAATCTGAGTTTAGTCTTACAACTTGTACTGATTACCTACACAATGGCTCCTTTACGCTTATGGCAGCTTTTGGCATTATGTGGACCTGTTAGCATTTTACAAATCATATTGGCTAGTGTTAGGTATGGTCAGGTCCCAGGATGGTTTGTGTTGATATTTTTCGTTGGTCATTTGTGCGTCCATTTGATTGGAATAAATCTTCACTTAATGTCACAAGTAAGTAAAAAAACTTCACTATGTATAAATTTTTTATGTGTTATTGTGTTTAAAATATTTTTGATACAATATACCTACCTAGCATTCACTTTGAGTTGAATTAATAGTTTACTGGGGTTGTTATATTTCCAAAAATGGATGTAATTTAGGCTTATTTGAGTCTCAAAAGGACTCATCTGACTGTTAGGTTTGTGACAAATGTAGGCACACAAAAGTTTTACATTATTAAGTCGGTTGAATTTCTTTCTCATCGACTTCAGGTTATTTTATAGCTAACTTCAAGCGCATTCAGTAACTTACAGGAATTGTGATCAAGAATTTCATGTTTTCCATCGAAAATACGGCCCATTCCGAAGTACATCCTAAGATTTCAGTACTCACTTCTCAGGAGTTTCAAGCGGCACTGATTGACTGACTTTCCAACATAGGATTCTGCACAGAATTGCACTAGTGTAAGTTGCTATACTCCATGTAGCACACAGAAGTTAACGAAAGAGTGATGGAAAATATTTAAAAGAATTTAATGTGCAGAAATGTACAGTAGAAAGAATAGTAACATGCAAAACATGAAAACCTAATGAATCTGGGAGATTATAAAATATGAATGCATCTGAACCACTGGGAATGATTTTGAGCCGTGTCATCAATAGTCTCAAGCCATTATTTCTCAGCACATTGAGGATTCTAACCAGATGGTCTATACCTTTCTACGTGACTTAAAACCGGCTGTCGAAGTTTCTGTGAATTGATGCTATGTTTTGTTTCGATCACTCCTAGCTCCTTTTCAAACTGTACACAGAATAAATGTTAGCTGGGGTAATTTTTATTTGTGTTGATATTCATCCGGTTACGTTGACTTTTTCTAAGTCATAATAATGTGTTCAGGTTGTTTATAGAGGTAGGATTTTTGTGGTCGTTAGTTTTTACTTCTTAATAATTAAAAAAATGAAGTCATGTCATGATTTTAATATACAACCGTTGTCAGTTCCCTTACTACTATGTACGGGTGATTTCAGTACTTGTTATTAGCTACTCATTTTTGATGTTATCATCTGAACATCCTGTACTAACATACTAAAATGCCAGAATCACTGAATCGGCGCTAATTTTTAGGGGTTGCGTATTTCCTTCCCATATTTACACTAAGATTATCATAGTAACTATAACTTACTACTCGTCATTCAACGATAAACCTTCATAAAATACTTGGTCATTTATTGTGCCCTGCCACAATTCCTTATGTGATCGGTTCCCAGACAAAACTACTAAGAAAAGTTCAGTTATTTGTACCACTCAATATTTTAGCATAGCTTGTCACACAAAATAGTGAAACCATAAGCTGAAAATTATTGAATGAATAGCTTATCTTTCAGACGAAAAAATAAAACTAACTAGATTATGAGAATGATATCATAGCATTATAATATGAGAGGTGTTCATAATATTTAATTTAACAAGTGTCTGATTTCGATTTAGAAGCCTTGCTTGTTGATAAATTCTGAGTCGCCGCCATCCATGATTAACAATATTAACTGACATGGGATTTGGTTGGGAAACAAACAGAGGTGGTTAAACCAAAACTTGGCATCAATCGATGAAGTCTTTGACTGTTTGTTTGATCCACGTACAATGTTGACTAACTGATTGGAGTCTCTGGGAGACTGTTGGTGATATGGCTGATTCAGATCCATTAAACACTCATGTTTTTCCATGTTACTATTCTTTCTCCTGCACATTTATGCTGGTCATAGCTCCTTCGAATATCTTTCTTTCCTCCTTTTTTCTTTCTACCTATGTGTGCTACTTGGAATGTTGTATGTCGAGCTGATTCACTTTTGTGCAGAGTTCTGTGTTGCAAATCAGTCAATCTGTTTAGGAGGTGTGGTTATTCTAACCTGATGCTAGACATCTATTTTGAAAATCAAGAGCCACATTTAGTTTAGGCAAGCATGACTTAAGTGTAAGTTTTGATATTCGTTAAGCCACTAATATATTCTTTAACAATGGAAACACCTAATGTTCTCTGATTCATTTTTGATATTTGTCTTGTTACATACTAATTGATGGTCCTTTATTGACTGATCCTGTCTAGTTAGCCTAGAAACTCAGCTTTTATCGAGTATTCCTAGTGTTTTCTTAGATTTTCGTCTGCTCCACATGTTAATATACATAGTCGACTTGTTTATTCCGAAAGTTTGCGCGTTCGCATCTTCCGTCTAACGTATCCTGGATTGGTCTTTAGTTGCTGCTGAACCATTGTGACTGAACTACTACCTTGTACTTATTATTGATTACTGCTCTTCACTCATCTTGTCTACCTCTGTGTGCTATTTGGAACGTGGCAACTCGAACTAGTGCACTTTGGTGCCAAGTTCTATGTTGAATCCAGACAGACAGACAGACAGACAGATTGATTACTGTATCTAGTTATATTTTGATATAACAAAATGCTTCTTTAGATTAAATTCCGATAAACTTCTGTTGCCTCTAAATGTTAAACTTCAATATTCACTGATAAATTAGTCACAGGAAGTTTCTGCTATTCAGCAGCTGATGTATCTTTTTTGTCTTAATTACACTCTTTCATATCGTTACCTACGTGCTGCGCATGCCTAACCACCGCCTCCCCCGACGGGCATTGCTAGCTGATATAGGTTCAGGTTGGAAAAGAGCCAGTGGTGGCCAAACAAAAACATGGCATCAATCCATGAAATCCTTGACAGTTAAACTGAGTCAGGTAGGGAGATGCAGACTCCCGGTTGGGGCCCTCGGGACTCTAGGAATCAATGGCTGGAGACAATAGGTGACATGGCTCAAAATCGTTGTCAATGGCCAGCGCAGATGTATTCAGTCTCTGTAATCTTTCATATTCCTTTCTACCATTACCCATTCTGTTTCACTCTTATACTTGTCAGACTGTATTGATTCTCTTCACTCATCTTCTTGTCTACCTCTGTGTGCTATTTGGAAGGTGGCAACTCGAACTGCTGCACTTCGGTGCCAAGTTCTATGTTGAATCCAGACAGAGAGACAGATATCGTTACCTTTGGATTATTTTTATCGTGTACATAATGACTGCATTATCAGTTAGTGTGTGCTATTGAATACTTCAGTTTTATTTAGATGACTTAGAATCAATCCCATGAAAAGCGAATGCCGTTAGTCCGACCTATTTTCATCCATCGATTCCCGGCATTTTTGTCTACTCTTCGAAACTTTGATTTGCATTAAATTCTTTAAAGTTTGGAGCATCTCATCATATAGCAACATGTTTACCGTTAATATGTAGTTGTTAACCATTGTGTTTTGAATTTAAAGCCCATCTCATTTATCTAAACCTGGATGGTGATTGGATAGTCTTGCAAGCTGTCTTACATTAAGTTTGCTGCTTAGCTTATTACATGACAAATCTCTAGTAGGTAACTGAGATGAATGAATTAAATTAGTTTCTTAACCTGTTAACAGTAGCTTACGCTGTATTACTTTTTCTTGTTTATCAAACTGCTTGTTTAATATAGATAGCTTCAAAGTGATTCTGTAAATATTATGTAAGCCACGCAATCAATCGTGAATCTCCATGAATCAATGTGGTTGAGACATGCGTTATTTCTCAACTTGTAATATTAATTAGGATAGGATTCTCGACCGATAACTGCTACCTTGACGTGGTGGTCGGGCTTGCATATCACAATGACCCAACAAGTTACACTGGCTATAACTATTTTTCCTGAAGGTCCTACTATGCCAGGAAGGTTGTTAGGATAGCGATTAGACTAAAAGTAGTTACCGACATTGTATAGGAATTTCTTTTACGCTATGCTGGGGGGTCTGTGGACGAAGTCGTACTGTTGGGGAACAGGGGTGTAACAGTAGTGAAGTGTTTCCCTCAGATGACCAGCATCCCAGCCGGCTATGCTGTCTCTCCAATCTGGAGAGAAGGGGTTAGAAAAAGCTGACCACAACAATTGTATATCCTGACTTACCCTACGGTGGTCCGTAACCGGTGGTAAGTTTACTAATACGGAACCAATCCAAGAAACCAGTTCATACAGGCCGTGTGTGACCGGCCTCAAGGCGTTGTCCCCTGGGCTCTGCGGTCACGCAACACTAACCGTCTTCCTGTTTCAGGTACACGAAGACTCAATCAACTTCCACGGTGTGGGCAGCCGGGAAGTAACAATCACCCATATACTTCCAAAAACACACGAAGCCTTCCTGAGCATTAGGATAGAATTAGTGTTTAGGCAGTGATGTGTTGATCTTTATAGTTCCTGAATTTAGTGTAGAGAGTGCCTTGTTGGAATTCACAAGGCCGCCAATGAAAATCAGAATCTAGTTTATATTCTCATCAATCTCAAAACTAAACCATTTAATCTCTTTTCAAATATGATCATTATTTTTCATGCCTTTATTCCACTTCTTCTACTTCTGTACAATTTTTTTTATCATACTTTAGTGGTATCACATTTTGAACGTATGCTTAATAGTGTGATATGCTGCATCGTTTTCCTCTGTCCTCATTTGGGTATTTCTTAAAAGTTCTGTGAGAATATTAATCTCGATATGCAAGTGAATGTTTATTCAATGGTGTAAGAAGCTTGGTGGACATAAACAGAGTTCAATGTATCTAGAGATTGTTGATGCGGTGTTAGCTGGAGATGAATTAGACTAAGAATAAGTTAATGATGGAGAAGTATGACCTGTCATTTAACACCCACATCCACTTGTTTTCATGTAAACATAACATGTGAAAATTGTAAAGAAAGGCTATAGAGTAGTACGAAACGTATGCACACTCTGAGTTGGAATGCTAATTACCTTCGGTAGAACTACTGTTATAATTCATATTGTTATTACTTTTCGCTTGGGTTCCAATCGGAACAGCGCTTTCGCATTACGCCTTTGTTCCACTCTGTTGTCTGCAGTCCTCCTTAGCTGCCTTCAGGATTGCCCATAAGTTCGTATTTCCTCTTAACACGTTCTCTATATCAGCTTCAGACGCCCAACTAGTTGTTCCTCATTCAGATTCCACTTAAGGGCTTGTCTGGCGCGTGATGTCACTCAACGGTCTCTTCACCGTATATCCAATCCATATCTATTTCCTCATGCAAATTAGTCGGGCGATGGGTTCTTGGTTGGTTTGTTGTAGGCCAAATTTTCTTGTCGCTTATTCTTTCTGGCCATCTTATCTTCACTATGGATGGAAGACAGGTTTTGATGAAATTCTTTAGTGGCCTGTTGTAAATGCCTTTTGTAACACATCAGTTCTCTGAACCATATAGAGGCATTGATTTGATATTCACCGGATCTTGTCCCTCATGCTAAGTGCAGTAGATTTCCACACTGTTTTCAAAGTAATGCACGTCTATTTTTCTTTTCTTATCTTTGGCATGCTCATCTCTGCCGCCTGTAGCTGACACGATGCTGCCTAAATAAGTGAAAAAGGTGACTTCCTTTGGATGTCTCCCGTTAATGGTGATTGATGTCGTTTTTAGTTAGTTGGGTATTTTCACCACCCCTGTCTTTATGTTCACTTGAAGTCCTCTCTTCGCCACTTCTTCTGGAAACTTGTAACTTTTTGCTGTAATGTATGATGGTCGAAGGTGGGATGAAAATCTGGTTTACAGAGGGATTCAAAGCGGTGACGTCTGAATTACCCGTTGGGTGATCTATCAGTGCAGTCACGACAGGCAACTACTGTCATAGCTCCAGCTGTCATATTGAGTGAACGACTGTGAGTTACAGTGACTGCTCAACTAGAAGTTCTCCTGATAATCTGGCTGGCAGTTGCATGTCGTAGCTCAGCTGGTAAACCACCGGACTAGTAATTTGGGAGCTACTGGCTCGAATTACGCTGTGACCCAAATTTTCATTTCACCCTTCGTCATCACTCAGTAAATCAATAACTAATGTTCATTTCAGGTGTTTCCACCATCATCGATCATTTAACCTACCAATGTTTGTCACTTACCCTCCTAAATATTATTTTGACTTAGACGTGGCAGTGGTTGTTTTCTCGTGGCTTTATTTTGACACGTGGTTGTTACAATGTCTGTCAATAGTAACTTTGTATTGTAATCAATAAACATAACTCTTTTGATTAAGTTACTTCTCACTTTCTGTGTGTGAAAGTGTTTGTTTTCAGTATTAAAGTGCATTAATCGGATAGATTTTGAAATGTTCCATTCGAACTAATAGTCTGCATAAAGAAATGTATAATAGTCCGGCATTTGCATTCATTTTACGATAAAGTTACCAAGGTAAGATTTTATCTTGATAAATCACACAGTGTTGTACAGTAATATTAACTAATGACGTTTCGAGCATATTACTGTACTGTAATATTACTGTACAACACTGTAAGATTTATCAAAATAAAATCTCATCCATAATGGAGTTATACTCTACCACAGTGCCTAAGTTTTATACTTATATCAAAAGTTACCAGTGAACAACATTCTCTTGGATGGTACTGTCTTCCTCGGTGAAACCACTGGCAAATACGGAGTCTCGTAAACACCTTGAACGGAAATCTTCGAATGTTTATACGTAAGTCACTTCTATCAAATGGAGGATAATCCTACACGGCTGGACTACATCGATTAGAAGTGACATGGTAGAGCGTGTCGACTAATTCATTCATATATGGGAATTTGTATCAGTCATAATGAAGTGACTACTGACAAAGTCTCAGCTTCAGTACAAAAATCTCGTATGGCATTTGTCAACTAACGCCATCATTGTTACATATGGGATATCCCACTACCCATCAAAAAACGTGCCTACTGTGCACCGGTTCTCTCTGTTCTCCTCCTTTACGGCTGTAAGACATATCCATTGAAAATGGAAGACATCAACAGAAGACATCATGTCTTAGGATGTGTAATATTTACGTTAAGTATAGTGTCTTAGTTTGGGAGAGCAAGTCGACCTGTGAGTCTGTGAAGCTACATCGATTTAGATGCATAGGAGATATGTGATATACATACCAAGCCATCGCATTCCTCATCGAGGAATGTAATCTGATATGGGATTAGGCTGGAAAAGAGTTAGTGTCGTCATACCCAAACCTGGTATCAATCCACAGTCTTTAACTGTTACTTTGACTTATGTAGAGAAATGTGGACAGCCTGGCTTAAGTCCTCGAGATGCAAACACATTCAGTGGCTGAAAAGTGTTCACACACTGTTACAGATCACTTATATCCATTTAACCCTCACGAGTTTTTCATGTTACTATTCTTTCTCTCTATCGCATTTCTGCTCATTATGCTTGCTTTAAATTTGTTTTCTTTACCTTTGTGTATTACATAGAATATGACAGCTTGAACGTTTACACTTCTCTGCAGAATTCTCTGTTGAAACTCAGTTAAAATGAAATAGTAGCTTTTTAGTTCAAGGAGTCAGACAAGGGTGCTTATTATCATCAATGATATTCCTAATTGTGATGGATTGGATTATGCGTCAGACAGTGGGAAACGAGAAGACAGGGATATCCTGACCGACCGACGTGAAGAACCTAGAAGACCTGGATTTCGCGCGTGGATGATTTATGTTTGATGTCACACAAAATCGAAGACTTACAAGCGAAAACCGACAAACTGGTCGAAGAAGCAGCCAGCAAAGACAGGACTCCAAGTGAACATAGACAAGACGGAGGTTATGAAAATAACCAACCACGACAAACAACAACAGCATCAACATCCAGTGCCAATCACCATCAACGGGAGGGATTTGAAAGAGGTCACTTCATTCACTTATCTAGGGAGCATTGTCTCAACTACAGGAGGAACGGACGAGGATGTCAAATCGAGCGAGAATCGTGAAGGCGAGAAACACACTCATCAACCTGAAACAATCTGGAAATCTTCGTTACTCAGCCAGCATCAACAACAAAATTCGGTCGGATTTTCAATACAAACGTCAAATCAGTCAGTTCTTCTATACGGATGAGAAACTTGGCGGATGGGTCACAAAGAATATTTCCAACTGCCTGTTTCAGACGTTACCTTTATCAACAACTGTCTTCACTGGATCTATGCTGAAGATCAGATGGCCGGGCCGGAAAGAATCACCAACAAGAAACTATGGGAACAAACAAAACAAGAACCAACCGCCAACCAACAAATATGCGGGAAAAAGTGGAGATAGATGGATTGGACACTGGCTGAGGAGGCCGGGCAGCTGGGTGACATCGCGCGTGCGTCAGGCCATTGCTGTAGTGTAACCAGGGCGAAAAGGAAGCAGCGAGTGGGTCGTTAATGCAAGGGTGACATGGGGGAGATCATGTGAAGAGGAGGGGTTGAAAGAGTATGGACCAACATGGATGCAGGTGAAAAGTACAGCAGAAGGAAGACAGAAGCAAGTGGATACGTGCAGTTGAAGCCCTATGTTCCACTAGGAACCCAAAGGAACAATAATAACAATAAGTTCAAGTTTTTGAGGTTTAGTTAACTGAGCCATAAATTTGAATCTCACCTTTATCTGCTTGCCTACGATTCGAGCAACTGGACGGTATTATCGGCTATCACATAAGATTTATAGTTCACTTGCACGCAAATACATATATGTGCATATCTATTTACGTCATATATATATATATATGGATTATCTTTGAGTTATCTTTATATATGTGACATCTTTATATATAAGACATGTGATTATTATTTATTATTATTTTTTTTATAGGTTTGGCGTAGATCAACATTTCTACGCATGGGTTATAATGCTTTAATGCGTAAAGCGCTGAAAAAAGAACAAGAAATCCGTGATGATATGATTCGTTCATTAATGCCTAATCAAGTAGCTCAAGAAGTGATGCGTGAAGTTGGCAATGATAGTGGAATTGATTCTGGCAATGATAATGATAATTGCAATAATAACACTGACAATAATAATGATAATAGTACTTTGGGTAAAAATAAAAAGTATAAAAAGAAATCATCGAAACAAAGTCAGCATCGAAGATTAAAGAAGCAGAAATTAAAGAATGAAACAGATAATATGGAGAATGATTATTTAGATTCGAAAGGTTTTAAAATTAATGGTTTCAGTTATATGGGTGATGGAGAGGATAGTGATGAAGACGATGAAACACAAACATCAAAAAAGATTAGCGTTGGAAGTAATTGTGAACAAATGACTGCAGGACAAGGTTAGTTTTTCCCCCATGTTATATACGTATATCTATGTATATTTGTATATATTTACGAATTATAGACTATTCTGCTCTGCAGTCTGTTAGATCTCAGTTGCCTAGGTCCAGGTTGCTCTACGCCTGTGAAACCTGGCCTCTCCGAGCTGAGGATATACGGCGACTCTGCGTGTTCGATCATCGCTGTCTCCGCAGGATTGCTTGCGTTCGATGGCATCATCGTGTGAGTAATTCTGAGGTTCGGCGGCGTGTGTTTGAACACAGTGGAGATCACCATTCATTGAGTGTCGTCATCTGGAAACACCGTCTCTGGTGGCTTGGACATGTGCTGCGAATGTCATCCCAGAGGCTTCCGTACAGGTCTCTGTTCGCTAGCCAACCCTGGGACGAGATGGAAAAGGCAGAGAGGTGGTCAGTCCACGACGTGGCTTCGTGGGATGAAGGATGTTTATGCTAGATCAGCATCGGTTGGTGTGTCACGACTACCTGGTTGGGGTCCGAGAGATAGCTCGAATCGATGGTTGGTAACGTTATCGGATATGGCCAAGAATCGTAATCAGTGGCGAACGTGTTTCAATTTCCTGCTTTCTTCCATTCCAGATGATAGTTAACGAATACTGTTTGAACTTGTTAAGCATGACTGTTTTCCTTCTAGATGAAGTTCTTTATCCGTTCTCTACTTATATTTTTACTTATAATCTTTGTTGTTTTATTATTATTGTGTGGCGCGTCTTTCTTGATGCCATACTGTACCAAGTTTTTTTCTGCTTTTAAATAAATGAAGGTTCAGGTATTATCACGTATCAGGCTATGAGCCACATTTATGATGTGCAGAGGTTGATGGTACCTCTCGCCCCTATCACCTAGAGTTGCTCAGGTTGAAGCAGTTGGAACAAGATTTCGATCTGTAGGTTGATTTACTGTCCCTGTATAGTGCTTTAGCCAATATTACTATACATCGCCACATTCTTGGAGTAGTAACTTGCTTGGTATGAAACCTCGTCCTCGTAAATGAAAAAAACTGCTGAAGAGTCACACACACACACACACTAAGATGAGGTTCTTCTCCCTTACTCTTTTGTTTATATTGGCTTTGTTCCTCAATGTCGGTTAGTAATGACATTATTCCCTAAATCCTGTATTTTATTGGAATCATATATCTGTGAGCATCCGAGGTAATAAAAGCAGATTAGCATGAATTGATTTGACCTGCGAAAAACTAACCTCATTGAAATGTGAATGAGGCAAAAACAACAATTTGTGTGGAATAAAATTACATCATCATTATTTCGTTGAGTTCTCATCAGCTGCATACAGCCTAAAGAAATTATCAAGTTTATGTATAGAACAATTTTAACATACCCGAAAGTTTTACATGATTTCAGTTTACTGGAGGCTCTAAACTTAATGAGAAGTTCTCAGAAAATCACACTTATATAATTCTTACCCAGAGTGTTCAAGTTTAAACAAAAAATAAATGCCTGGATACAATGGTGAAGGAGCTACGTAATGAGGGCATGAGGTGAGTAGTTAATGGATTGAGTAACAATGTAGTGAGTTCAATTCAAATCATGGAAGCAAGAGACAGGCGAATTTACGCTATATCAAAGAGGGGCAGTGTGGATAAAGTAAACGACTGCGTTATCACATGAAAGAGAGAATTAAGAAATTCAGATACCAGGGCAAGGAAACACTAATAACTCATGTATTTGATTTCTTATGGGTGTGTGTGTGCGTGACAACAGGAGCATTAATGTTGCGTGACCTCGGGGCGCAAGGACAACTGCCCGGGGTTTTTCACACGCCGCTTATTTGAGTTGGGTTTTGGAGGTGTTTCTTTACTGATGTTTTTACCGCCGTCTAGGGACCGCCGCAAAACAAGTTGAGGTGTACAATGCCCTTGTCACAGGAGAGATAGGTGGCACCAGATGGCTTGCTTCTCGCCTAAGGAAAACACCTTACTGCTAGTACATCCTTATTTGCCAGCAGTACAAATTATCCCCCTGACTCCTCCTCCCCTAATATAGTGTAAACGACTTACGTTATGATGGTAACTGCTTTCATTCTAACCTTTATCCATACAACCCTTCTGGCATTATAAGACCTGAGAACCATTAATTCCAACCAGTATAGTTCGATCATTGTGATATGGAATCCTGATCACTGCCATTATGAGGTCGGGAATGACATAAAGTTTTGTAGTATTGTCTATGTTCTTGTCATCTAACCATTTGTTTCTTTTTCTGTGTTTTAATTACGCATCCTTCCTGTGCCGAAATCATCAGTGTTAAGTTTACACCTGTTGCTATTATCTCTCACCATCTTTAAAATTAATGAGAAAACTGCTTTTATCTGACCTCGGACCTTCATCGAAGGCCTTTAATGACCCAAACAATTTACTTATAAACATAGTAGGTATAATTTAGACACCACTGTTGTCTTACATCATAATATCGTCTCTAATTTAAACAGATATGCCAGATATCTTTGGTGTGGTTTCCTTGATTATACATCTGCCTTTGACTCTGTACCTTTTTTTCCTTCACGTTCCCCAGTGGAACATAGGACTCAAGTTAGTTGCTTGAAGTTTCTTAGCAGTGTTTAATTTTTACAGGATGGGGTTGCTTGTCGCCTCATGCCCAACCTTTCCTCGTTACCAGCATTATTTCTGTCTTAGCAAAGGTAAAGGAGTGAGTTGGTGGCCGGGGATCAAATCCCGGACCATGTGCATGGTCGGCGAACGTCCTAACCGCTATACCACCGACTCTGTACCTAGGCCTCTCTTATTAAACGATCTTTCTATGACACAGACAGGTTGTTATATTAATAAGTGGTTGCACTCTTACTTTTCTGATAGAAAGCAATATAATGTTTTCAATGAGAAGTCCTCCACTGCTTCACTTACTCTAGCTGGTGTTGCTAAGTGATCTGTTCTTTCTCCTTTTCTGTTTTCTGTCTTCTTACATGACTTATCCCATTGTGATGAAGCGAATTTTGTTAAGTATGCTTATGATCTGTTTCTATGCTGATCACATCTCAGTCAGACTGTACAAAATGAACAAATTTTTTATTAGAAATTAGTTAGTACCCCTTCTCAAATGATCTTTAGCTAAATCCCTCCAAATGTCAGATTGTTAAAGTTCGCTTTCAGAAAGAAGTGCGACTTACATGAATTGGTTCGTTTACATGATTCTATTATCACAGATTGCACTGAAAGTTAAACTAAATCGAATGTCAAGAATACTTTGGATTGTATATTCCCTCTGATCTTTCCTGGTCTTCCCATATGTTAATTTCTACAAAGGTATTTCATCTAACCTCCTACGTTAGAAAGGTATCACCCAGTCTCTAATTTGACAGTTTGTTAATTCTCGTATTATTGTTTATCGCTCCCTCGTTTTGTTACAATCTTGGGGGGGGGGCACCCACAGCTATCAGTAAGGCTAGTGGGTGTGTGTGGCTAAACCAACCTGTTAATGCTGCTGTAGACAAGCAAATATGTCGAATATCATTGCCTTTATATACATAGTTCTCTCCTGACATCTCATCAGGTAGGAGTAGAAGCATTTACGAAGTGACTTTATCCTCGGACGACTGAAGATGAAGACTCTATGTGGTGAGAAAAGTGTGGGTCATGCATGAAACTAATAACTTACTGAGAAACACTAATTAGGCCCTTTTTATTCTTCCTGTCATATTAATATATTTTCAATAATTTAATAATTCCCATTGTAACATTAAGAACACAATATTCAGCGAAGAGACTCTTTTCAACGAGTTTATTATCAAACTGTACAATCGTATATATATATATATATATATATATATATATATGGTTTTATTTTAAGAAATTATATCCGGTGAGGGAATTAGGTCAAAGGTGTGAATGCATGAAATAATAATAGTATGAAATGCAATTAAAATATTTGTGATTATAATCATAGTTTAGTGTCAGGTGGCAAAATAATTAATGTCATATATAGAATAATACATAAGGTGTATAGATTTTGGAATGGGGTACATAATTATAAGATTAATAGACGAATATAAAATGTTACATAACATGGTGTGAAATTTGATAAGATAGGATTCAATTTTGTTAAAGTAAAAAAAAATATAAAAATTAGTAATTTTAGGTTTAAAATGACAAGTGGGTCAAGTGGAAAAGATTCAGAGTGAGAATATATATATCGATACATATTGGTGTCACTGCTTCTGTTTTTTCCTCTTTCACGTTCCCAGTGGAACCTAGGGCTTCAAGCTAGTGGCTTGAAGTTTCTGTAGTAGTGTTTAATTTTTACAGGATGGGGTTGCTTGTCGCCTCATGCCCAACCTTTCCTCTTTACCAGCATTATTTCTGTCTTAGCAAAGGTAAAGGAGTGAGTTGGTGGCCGGGGATCAAATCCCGGACCATGTGCATGATCGGCGGACGTCCTAACCGCTATGCCACCGACGCTTCTTACTTAATTTACTTTTATTTTATACTCATATTCTTAGTGGACAATATTATCAATGTGAATGCCCTGTTTAATTAATTTCCCCGTGTACTATGTAATGTAATGAGAAAATTAAACGCAATATTGTATATGTATTACATGCTGAGAAATTTCCTATTTGTATCGTATCAACAGTACTCTTTAGAACAATGTCATAATTATTACTATCCTTATTCTTATTATACACAGACAGATAAAGCAAAAAATATCACACTAAAAGGTACACCGTTTTCAAGCTATATATATGTATATCTCACTTAACAAAAGTACAACGAAAATAAGGAAAAAATAAAAAAATACTAGAAAAAAACACAGAATTTCAACACAATATAAGGCAAGGCATAAGACAATTGAAAAGAAAAACAAGCCTACTGGTTAAGTAATACAATAGTAATGTGAACCAGCTTGAAGCCTTTGTCCGATTATATTAGCTTCTGTTATTATTATTATTGTTCTTGTCATTATTTATTGATCAATAAGTCAGTTGAGTGACGTAAAATCAATCGATATTTCTTCGCCTATAACTTGTTAAGCCATCTGCCCTTCACTTTCTTACCCTTCTATATATATATATATATATATATATATATATATGTTAAATGTCACATTCAATGTCAATTTAAAACAAGTAAAAACTATACGAGAAGCACTAGAGAGGGATTTGTCGACTGTGAATACTCTACGCAAACATATTGTTATTTATACAACACACACTATGCACATTGACATTTAAACTGAAGTTATATTGTAATAATAGAATGATAAACAATTATAAACACCTAGATATGATTATAAGTTTCCAGACCGTACGTAGTAGGTGTTACGAACTTCCTGGAATAATTTGATCATCGAGTCAGATTAATTCATTATAAATTCATTCAGACATCTATAAAACACAAAATAATCGAGCAAAGAATATTCTTTTCGAAAAATTCCTCTTCCGACTCTACAATTCTATGCATATGTTTATATACATAGAATATCCTAGAATAGTAGTTGATAACAATATTAGTGTTTTTTAAATAATAATATCGATTTGTAAAGTATGATCAATGCAATTACAGTTAATTGAAGATGCTTAAATTATAATAATAATAAAGATATACTAACGAATAAAATATCAACTAAAATTAGGAAAATTCCACAAAAATTCATGTTCATTCAAACCTAGATGGCCAAGGTAGTGATAATGTCTGAACTAACTTCTTTTGGATGTATAAATTAGGCTTGTTAATATGGATCGCCACAGCCTCAGTAATATTTAGTAGTCGAACTCTTAAGGCAAAATTGAGATTCGTAGGTATGCAGTCAATGACCCTGAAAGCATGGTTAACGTCAATCTTGTGTTCTGTATCCACAAAATGAGACAGAATAGCGCTGCGGATAGATTTTGTTTGTCCTTTGCTTAACCACGCAGGGTGATGTTAGGAAATTCAATGAGAAACACATCTAATTGTACGGCCTATGTAAATGACTCACTCCACAGGAGCAGTTAAATTGGTAGATACACATGGAAGAGGCGAACGAACTCAAGAGGAGAGGAGTAATTTTGAAGATAGCGTAATTCGTCAGCAGGGAATGCTCTTTTTACCGCATTTCTAAGGCGCTGTATTAGTATCTCGCTGATGTTGTCCCCAAGGAACTGCATTTGTAATAATAAGGCCTTTTTCGGAATTGTTAGTAACTTGGGCTGTTTTGGTTTCAGATTTATATTATTTAAATTAATCCCAGCGTGTTTAAGAAAAAGTTAAAACCAGATTTCTCTGAACGTTTCTCTGTGTAAGCCACGGCTTCTTCAGCAGATTTATTCGGATTTTTTATTAATCATCAAAATTTATAGTCAAAATGTTTTTTTTGTTTTACATAAATTAAAGTCATTTTATTTGAAAATGACTTGTCCATAGACATTTGTACTAATAAATCTGCTGAAGAAGCTGTGGCTTACACAGCAAAACGTTGGGAAAAATCTTGTTTTGGTTTTTTCTTCAACACGCTGGGATTAATGTAAATAATTTATACTAATCGAGATATGGTGATGATAGTAATATTGAAACACAATTAAACTTTGTAAAAAGACAAGTAAATAAATAAATTTAACATATGTAAGCCACATATGAGTAAAGAAGATTTTAAAATTTGGAAGCAAATACACTGAGCCTACAGAAAGATGTCTTTTGGCTTGTGTTGTCGAACACACTGTCCCTCCCCCAATGGCTTTCTAGTACTCATAATGGTATCCTAAGGAGCTGAGTCACACGAAATTTATTGGACTGTGATCATGCGATGTGGTTGACTACAAGTATTATAGTTATTAAATAAGTAAGGTAATAAAAATGCCTGCATGCCAAGTAATCCACAACGGGAAACTCACGGAAACCTTTGAAGTGAAGATGGGAATAAGATAAGGCTGTCTACTATCTCTAATGATTTTCCTGATCGCGGTAGACTGGATAATGCGACAGACAACGGGCAATGAGGAAACAGGCATAAAATAGACCCTAAATAAAACTTGGAGGATCAGGACTCCGCCGATAACATATATATGTCTGATTTCCCACAAACTGGAAGATATCCGAGTGAAAGGCAACAAGTTGGCAGAAGAAGCATCCAGAGAAGATAGGACTTCAGGTGAACAAAGATTAAACAGAGGTGATGAAGATTCCTGGTCAACACCAACAACAGACAACAATCAGCATAAATGTGAGGAACCTGAAAGAAACAACCTCCTTTACTACCGACCTGGGAAGCATCGTTTCAATTACAGGGGGACATAACTGATGAGGATATCAAAGCGAGGATCGGAAAAGCGAGGCAAGCTTTTATTACTCTCAAGTCTGTGTGGAGGTCAACAGCACACTCAGTATGAAAAATAACATCCGGATTTTCAACTTCAATGTGAAGTCAGTCAGTGCTACTATACGAATCAGAGACTTGGCGAGTCATAAAGAGCACCTCAAACAAACTACAGACCTTCATTAACAGTTGTCTTCTCTCAATGACACTCAAGTCAGATGGCCGGACAGAAAAGATCAGCATCAGAGATCTCTGGCAATGAGTGAACCAACCCAGCAGGAACCAATTGTGCAACAAATATGCAGGAAGAAATGGAGACGGATTGGCCATAGTCTGAGAGAGCAAACCATCAAGTGACATCACATGCCAGGCCATTGTTCAGGTGAAACCCGAACGGGAAGCTGCAAGTTGGTCGTCAGTGCGAGGGTGGGGTGACATGGAGGAGGTAATGTGAAGAGGAGATGAAAGCATTTGGGTAGATGTGGAGCGAGGTGAAAACGTTGGCAGAGAACCGAACGTAATGGAGATGTGCAGTTGAGGCCCAATGTTCCTCCAGGAAGTAAAGGAAACAAAAATAATAATAATAACAAAGCTTGCGGTTTTGTAACCGGATGTATGTATACAAACGGAGACGGTAGTTAACTTAAATCTATCTTGGTAGCATACTATTATTTTCCTTATCTTTCCCTTTCTCTTAACAGTTGTTTTTCCTTTATTATTATTATTCGAGTTTGACCACGGATCGATATCAGTTAGAGAACCATTAAAAGCTATCAAGGAGTACTGCAAAGCTGTTTCGTCAGCCTAGTTTGAAACTCATCGGAAGTACGCACCCATTGAGTATCACACCTAGGACCTTCAGGTTACAAGCCAAGCTAGCTAGTATACCATTCAGCCACTGGAACCAGATTCATTGGCCACCGCATGTATTCTAACTTCTGCCAATTCGTGATATATTTAGCGCAACTACCATCCAATGTCATCGGTGGGAACTCTTTCCTCTCTTGTGTATTTTCTACGAAGTTTCCTTGTATTTCAATATTATTATTATTATTATTATCATCCTATCTAGGTGTTTATAATAACAACAATAATAACAATAACTCTAGTTTATATGTTAATATGTTCTTTGATGACTATTGTTAACTTAATAATAATGACGTTAAGAGATTATCACTCACCAAATTGATATTACTATTTATTATCACAATGCTCATGTGTTTGTAATGTATTTCACCTTAAAAGGAGATTGTATAAATAACAATGTTTGTAGTGAAGTGGCTTTATTGCGCATATCCGGTAATTGTAGCGTCATAATCCGTTGCTATGGTTGGTGGTTTAATGACAAGTTGTATTTTTAAACATACTTTTTCAATGAAATTCTGCACTATGAATCTTTTTCTGGGGTACTTATTATCGATGGCATTATATCCTTCAACTGAGTTATACATATGCTGCACTTTTATCAGAAAATGTTGCTTGATGCTGTTATCTGTACAATATAAGGTATTAAAGGAGGCAACAAGTTATTTATTGAAACACCATATTATCCCTACCGGCTAAGGCAGATGGTGCCACTTCAATAAGACGGAGATGCTATATATAATCACCCTTTGGTGCATCAGTGGCACACCGGCAGAGTGCTCGCCTACCACTCAGGTGGTCCGGGGTTAGATCCCCGGCCACAGACGCACTCCTTTACCTCACTAAAGCAGTAGTAAGACTGGTAAAGAGGGAAGGTTGGCCAAAAGGTTAGCTAGCAACCCCATGCTGTAAAATTAATCACCACTGCTACACAGAAACTTCAAGCCGCTAGCTTGAAGGTGCCCTATGCTCCATTGGGAACGTAAAGGAATGAAAGAAAATCACCTATTGTAAAGTATTCAGCTGACGAGTCCATCTACCGAAACTTCGATGATTTTCATTACTTAATATCATTGAATTTTCTGTTTATAGTGTTTATTTTTTATCAATCAGATCTTAAATAATAAATAATTTCTTCCCTTTACGCACTATTCTTAGATGAATTAGAAATTGGTGTCGGTGGTACTGGTGGTTCTAGTCCAAGATCTAGTCTAGTGCCTAAGTCAACTGTACTTCCAGCTCGTGCAGTTGCTTTTCGTAAATTTCATGTGAATCAATTAGAAAATGTTAGTGTACTATTCGCAGATATTGTTGGTTTTACAAAGATGAGTTCAAATAAATCAGCATCACATCTTGTCTATCTGTTGAATGATCTTTTTGGAAGGTAAATTTAATTCATTTCTAATTTATTCTTTGTGTTATTTTTATTTATTTATTTTTTATTTGATAACAATTAACACTGACATTTCGTTAGCCGGCTAGTTTAAGTTGAAAATACTTCAAGTATTGAAGATGACAAGTAAGCATTGTGGAACAATAAGATGCAGGCTTTATTATAAGTAGAAGTGTAATAAGCTCAGCAAGGATATCTTTTTGGACGATTTCATCCTAAAAACCTGTACAATTTCATTTATATACGTAAGTTCATGTCTGTCTGTCTGTTTTCGAAATAGAACTTTGCACCGATGTGCGGCAGTTCAAGTTGCGATAATATCGAAGAACAATGTAGTTTCATTGGAAATCATAAGTTACAAGGAGTGGATGCATCTGCGCTAGCCACTGAGAACGATCACTTTGAGCCATATCACCGATTGTTTCCAGCCATTGGTTTTTACCATCCCGAAGACCCTAACCAGTTAGGAAGTCTACACCTTCCTACGTGGTTGGCTTAAACTAACTATTGTGGATTTCATTGACTGATGAAATCATGTTTTGGTTTAACCAGCCTGACCTTATGTCAGCTAACATTGCCCGTTGAGGAAGGCGATGACTAGGCGTGCATCGTAACACATGTCGTAACCATCTCAGTCGTTGTAATTTCAAAGCCTCGTCGATTGATTTCCCTTCCTCACCTAGCACTCGACCCCTCATCTCAGTATTGTTCACGTAGATATAATTAGTATTTAATTCTACATAATAATGGAAGAGATTAAAGATGATAATAATTTTCAACTTGATAGAAAAAATTTGAAGGTGTGAATAAAGATTAAAAAGAGGTTAGAAACAAGATTACACAGGATTAGAAAATAATTGTGTAACATCAGAAGACAAGGGCCAGGCAACAGATCGTTTTATTACGGAAATCAACACGTATTTATATAAATTTCACATACATTATCATAGCTTAGTCAAGTAGACAAACGCAGTCTTCTGATTGGTTGTTTTCGAGTTCCTCGGAAAGTGGAACCATCTATCTGCGAATCATATTTGCCCACGTGTAAGTTTGCTGTGATTGGTTGTTTAAACAGCCTTGTTCATATTTTCTCACGGCCCATATTAGTGACCTAGACATTGACGTAGATTAATGTCAACCAATTGGCTAGCAGCTTGCTCTCACCACAATTGTACCACATGTACATGTACAATAACTTAAGGTAATTAGTTTTATTTATCAGGCAATCAGGCTGTTTGTATTAAAAGCCTTGCAGACAGTTATCTCATGCATTGAGATACACTTTGCCATCCATGATTGAGCTTTTTCTCAAGCTCTTAGTAGGTAACTTGAGAATCAGCAGGCTGTAGACATTCGAAATACTCATGAAAGTAGAAAATACCGTTGATGAGGGGAGTGGTGTCATTATTTTTAGAAGATTAAGACAATCTGTTTATCAGAATATGTCTATTAAATCGGATTATTATTTGTCCATTAGTTGGGAATAATGAGCCTATATTACTACCGATAAAGACGTTTACACGCTATATTAGTTTTTCTTTAGGAGCTATGATCACATGCGTGTTATTCATTTTGGAATAATCAGTTTTCATATCCCTCCTCCTAAGATGAATCCTCCAATCCTCCACTAGTATAGTGATGAGCGACAAATAACTTTTCTAAGAACACCTACTGAATGCAGACAGGAGATACAACTTGTCTGGAAGAGGTTGTGAATGCTTAAGCACATTAGAACTTTGAGAGAGAGAGAGAGAGATCAGAGTTTCATACATCTGGTTTCCTTGATAAATTTCGATAGAGAAAGAAAGACCAGATTTGCAGTATTAAATGATATCATCATTCTATTTCACAGGTTCTCATCAGCTGCAAACTACCTGAAATTACAATGGTTATAAATAATATTTCCTACTCTATTGTTTGAAAGGTAATAGAGAAAACATTATAGGTTGAACGCATTGGGAATATAAGTATTATAATTTATAGTTTAAGTTACCATCAATTTATATACTATCAAAGTATGAAAATAAGGGGGTAGGGGGTGAGAGAAGACAGAAAACAGAAAAAATCTAATGAACAGTGTCAACACGGAAACTCAAGATGGTCAAAGTTCATCAATTTGAAAACTTGCTTAGTGAGTTGAGCTCACTAGTGTGTATGACTGTCTGTCTGTTTTCGACATAGAACTTCGCACAAATGTGCGGAAGTTCAAGTCGCCACACTCCGTGTAGCACGCGAAGCAAGAGAAGAAAGTACAAGAAAAGCATAATCGAAACAGTGAGCAGAGGTGTGAGACAAAGGAGTAATAAAGAAAAACAAAACAGTTTCATTGGAGATCATAAGTCACAAGGAGTGGATGCATCTGCGCCACTGTATGTGTATGACTAATCAGTGTAATGAAATTGATATGGTTACTAAAGGAGTGAGAGATTAACTACACTCTATTTCTGTATGCATAAGTTTGGTCTGTGACGTTTGATTGCAGTTGCTTCAGCAAATCGTAGTAGATTCGTTGTCCTTTGTATGTTTAATATTTTGAAGGATTTGGAAATCTCGACAAAATGACTCGTATCCACAAGGTGTCTGGTAATTGCACTTTGTAAATATCTGCTTCCTTTTAGGCATAAGTTTCTCGGAATACGCTCTGAAAACCGGATAGAAGCTCTTCTTTTTGTCCTTCCAATGTACTTGCTGCCGCAGGTGCACGTAAATTTATAAATACAGTTGGAGGTAACATCAGCAGAGTACTTATCCAGTTTCGATTGGCTTATAGAGCATGTAGTACTGTATAGTGTCACCAGATTGGCTGCAGAGAAGCATCTCTTTATTGCTCCCTTCATCCTCTTTTCAATCTTTTGCGATACTGTTTCTCCTTTGTATGGGAGGCAAATGAACACTTTCTTCTTTCCAACTGTTGGATACTTCTCTTTCTCATCTCTTTCTTTGCTGTGGTTTAGGATAAATCCTTTTGGATACCCGTTTTCCTTAATGCATTTTTTAAAGAAAGCTTAATTCTTCTTCTACTTTGTTAGGGGAACATAACTTCCTGGCTCTGTCATACACTGTCTTTACTAATCCCTGCTTATAGCTCATAGGGCAGAAGCTGTTGTAGTGAAGGTATTGTCCGGTTCAAGTTTCTTTTCTGTAGATGGACTTTTCGACCGTTCTATCGTTTCTTCTTTTAACATTTAGGTCCAGGAAATTGAACTTATCGTTGTGTTCGTATTCCATAGTGAATTTAATGTGTGGGTGAACCTCATTTAGGCGGTCTGACTCATGTCGTTACAAACAACAAAAGTATCATCGACGTATCGACGGTAGTATGTTGTTTCAATAATAGCGTTACTCAGTCGCGTCTATTCGAGATAATCCATGAAGATGTCTGCTAGAATGGGTCCTATAGAGGTTTACTTATCGTGAATGTATTTGTATTTTTATTCAGTATGAAAGTATGCTAATCACTTTTACATTATGAAATTCCATTCCCGATACTTTTGTTTTAACCTAATAATAATAATAATAATAATAAATAAATAAATTGTCCAATATGTAGTTGCTGATGCGCGTATTCAACAATAATCGAGCATTCTGCTTGTATTATTATTCTTCACTAAAAAAATTATTTTGTAGATTGTTGTTTCGACTTGTTTGAAGATGAAGTGTATATCCTAATAATACTGCATAGTTTTACAAGTAGAATTTTCTTATTTTTCATTACAAGCATAAAGTATTGTTGTTGTTTATTTATTGAATGGAAACTTTCAGATACTATAATCATTTTTACGAGTTGATCACGGATTGACATCAGTTAGAGAACCATTGAAAACCAGGAGTATTTGACAGCTGTTTTGTCAGCCTAGTTTTGGTAATTATCGTCAGTACACAACCACTGGGGTTCGAACCCACGACCTTCCGATTACAAGGCAAGATATTATACTATTCAGCCACTGGGACCCGATTCAGTGGTTCATGAATTCGTGATTTAGCGCAACCCCAAACAATGTCATCAGTGGGACATCTGTTCTCACACGTGACTGTATGTACTTCACTGGTTAGGACTTTTCACTAGAACTACAGAAAACTCTATCCTTTAGCAAGTCACTAGCGAGTCAGATTAATTTTCTATAGTTGGTTTGTAAGGGTTGGTTTTGTTTTTACGATTTGATCACGAATTGATATCAGTTAGAGAACCATTGAAAACCAGCAGAGAGCACTAGACAGCTGTTTCATCCTAGTTTGGGAATCATCACCCATTGGATAGAAGTTAGGATTCATGGACTGGCCATTGAATCGGGTTCCAGTGGCTAAATAGTATACGAGCACAGGGGTTAGGACTCTCACCGACCATGCACATGGTCCGGAGTTCGAGCCCTCGCCGACGCACACCTGATATCTATGGTCGGCCTGCGAAATTTGGGCTACCGATATCCACGCTGAAAATTCCATACTTGTACCAAAAATACGGCGTGGAATCAAGCTAATCAAAAATTAAAAATTAAATTAATTAACCGTATGGTCCCAAACTAGAATGCAACAGCTGGCTGTTCAGTACTCTCCAGTGCTGGTTTTCAATGGTTCTCTAACTGTGATATCAATCCGTGATCAACTCGTAAAATAACAAAACTAACCCTTACAAACCAACTATAGAAAACTGTAATCATTTGTCGAAATGACAATTAATAGCAACAACAATCCCCCTCTTAATTAATTACTAACAGTGTTTTTCCTTCTAGAGGAATGACTTTTAAAATAAAATTTTAGGTGAATGAGGCCAAAAGCTTCAAACACAGATACATTAGTATAAAGAACTTGATATTATATAGTTAGAGACAATCGGATACAGGAAGCCTTGACTCTAGATCCAGGTTTCGTGCTAGTCGCCACTCACCAGTCAGCAAGGCGTATCTGCAACCTGGAAGGAACTTATTTCCCTTTTGATTGTCGAACCCACGTCACCCAGTGTTGCAGTCAGAGATGTTACCACCACTGAACTATTCGGACTCGCGATTGACCTTCTTCTGTACGACTGTATTGGATACTTTTAATTGAACATTAGTTAGTGACTAGTGTCACGCGTCGTCTAGTCTTTTGTTTGTCGCAGGCCGAATTCCATCAGTCAAGTTTGAGACGTGGTCACCATTCTAGGTGGCTCACCATCACGCGGTGCACTTTGAATTGTCTATATTTAGATGGTTCGAGGCAGTCGGTAGGGAAGCCTTGGACCTAGGTGAGTTCCGAGTGTCAACTAGCACGAAACTAAACAATGAACTAGACACATTGCATTAGTTATTAAGTCGCGTTCAATCAAAAATAAAAAGAAGTGTGATACTAATTGACGTTTATAAAGAAAAAGAAGGTTGGTACGAGTAGACTTTAGAAAAGTAAATTTGGTTAGTTTCCTTTTTCATCTTGAACTAAGTGTTATTCGAAAATTGCAAAATTCATTTTATTTATTATCAATGAAATGAAATGATTTGGCTCTTTGATTAGCCGAGTTGATGAACCGAGAGTATGCCGTTGATGAGCAGCTGTCGGCCCTAAAAGTCAACCAAACGGTTGTTAGGCGTTTAGTTTATATTGTCACTTCGATCTGACTAACAAGTACTACTGGTTGTTGTGAGTGACTTCCGACTACTCAGCAGAATATCTCCGCTTCACTTGATTTTATGTGCTATTTTTGTTGTAACTTGCGCCACATTTGCTCAGGTGCTTTTATTTTCTACTGACTGACAGTCTCAGACGCCCAAAATTTATGATGTTATATTCAGTGGTCTTTTCAGCGAATGTATATTCAATCCATCTCCTTTTTTTCTCCTTCTGCATATTTGTTGGGCTATATGTTCTTGTTTAGTTGGTTCCAGACTTGAGTTCCTCATCGCTATTCCTTTTTCTGGTTGGTCATCTGATGTTGAGTATGATGGTGGGAAGGCAGCTGTTGACAAAAGCTTGCAGTAGTCTTGTTATAAGTATAAAACTTGGGCACTGTGGTAGAGTATAATTCCATTCTAGATAAGATTTTATTTTGATAAATCACACTGATGACGTTTCGACCACAAATTTTTACTGCTCATAATCATATCAAGTCACTACTCACACAACTTTTCGATTCATTTATATACATGTGTGGAATTGACCAGATATTTGAATAAAAATCAATGTATGATAATGTACATTCAGAAATAATAATATGAATGTTATTGATGAAATACAACCAGATGGGAAATTATAAGTAACTTGTTAGAATGTTGTGATGTGCTTGAATTGAAATAGAATTTTAAGATTATTTGTTATCCCCCTTTGATTTGACTGGTGGTAATGTCTTACATATCTCTGGTATTTGCGTTGAGTCATTTCTATTGCATGTGTTGTGTTGGGTGTAGACTCAATAAACCAGGATTCAGTAGTCAAACTCTCTCTCCACCTACCTAGATTACTCCTTAGAATTTTCATCCTCTCTCACCCTATTGTGTGGTTGTGTATTAATGCATGTAGTGCAATTGCTGAGCTTTTTTCTAAATTACTCATCTTCTCGGGGTCAATCATTCCCACCTTAGCTGAATTCTTATGCTCTAACAGTCTGATTACCCCCGATCTGCTAGGTTGACCTATATAGTTGACCTCACAGTCATTGCAGGGTATTTTGTAAATTATATTATTTTGTTTAGTTGGGTCAATCCACCGGGTCTTGTAGGCTATAGAGCTTGTCTTATGTGAGTTTGTAGGTTTGAAGCCACTCTAATTCCTGCTTTATTAATAATCCTATGTAGGGTCTGAGATTTCCCCTCCTTATATGGTATAACAGTGGATGACTTATATTCTTTCTTATTTATGTAATCATTATTAGTTTCACAATTATTTTTATTTTGCTTTTGGCATTTTTTGATCCTCTTAATGAATTGTATAGGATGATTATTTAACACCAACGCCTCTTTATGTTTTATTTCACCGTTTAGGTCTTTTCTTGTACTACTTAGCGCTGCTGCTCGGTTTGTCAAACAATTAACTAAGTCTGCCTTCACAGACAGATAATGGATGAGATGAATAAAAGTTTAAATATCTATTAGAATGCATTAGTTTTTTTTATAAACGCTAGTGTGTAGTTTACCTTCTTCTATTTGTTTTATTTTAGCTAATTCTCCTTGTTTATTCTCTTGTTGTGCTCACCAAGTTTCTGAATTGTATAGAAGTATTGACTTGATATTATTATTGAGAATCTGGATTTTGTTCCTCATATTGAGTGCAGTAGGTTTCCACACCGATTTCAGAGTGATTTTTCATTAATATATGACATGTCTACATGTTTGAGAATATTTATTTTCTACCAGAGATATACATGTTGGTTAATTGATGTCAGTGAATTAATCTTCAAAATCCGTATGAAATGGATTTCGGTAAGACCTGTCTCTTATGGCTATTCCTCCAAATATTTATACACTATTGATCTTTATAATATGCGTTTGTAAATAAATTAGGCATGTTTCATTCGCTAATCACGTCTTTGTATTCCGAGTGGGGAACATAGGGCTTCAGGTTTGATCTCTGAAGTCTTGATAGTGATGGTGTTTGTTTTTTTACGGGGTAGGGTTGCTAGCCTTAGGCTCAACATTCCCTCATTACTGGCTAAGCGAGGCTTAGGATTACATCGGTTGGGAGTCGAACCATGGACAGCATGCATCGTGGTTGATGAACACTCTACAATTGAATCACTGACGATGCACTTTATGCCAATTAATCAGCTTTCTTGTTATTCTCCTCTCTCCCTTCTGCTTCCTTTTTCATAGATTTGATCGTTTATGTGAAATTGTTGGCTGTGAAAAAATTGCCACGCTAGGCGATTGTTATTACTGTGTTGCTGGTTGTCCAAACCCCGTGGATGATCATGCTGAGCGTACAGTTGAAATGGGTAGAGCAATGTGTTTAGCTATTCAACAATTTGATGAAGATCATTCAGAACAAGTAAGTGAAAATAAAGGAGGAAATAACCCTTTTATGTGTGTTGTAATTGAAAATTATTATTTCATTTTCAAGCATTGATTTGTACAGTTTTGATTGATTGATTGGTTACAGGATTTCAATACTTGAAAATCAATGAGATGCTCACTGGCGACTTACCCTATTCAAGTGGGGTCCTAGTGGGCCGTTGTGACCAGTAGGGTGCAGCAGGTCGGATGTGAGCACAAATACTCACCGAAGACCGGTTGCGCTATGTCATGAATTCGTAGAAGTTGGAATTCATGGGTTGGCCATTTGATTGGGTTCCAGTGGCTTGTCTTGTAACCAGGAGGTTATGAGTTCGAACCCCGGTGGATGCGTGCTGCGAAGAGTCCCAAACTAGGCTGACGAAACAGCTGTCCAGTACTCGGCGCTGGTTTTACAGTGATTCTCTAACCGATGTCAGCTTATGATAAAAATCCTGTAACCAGTTATTTTATCCATAGAGAAATTCCCATTTATACACGTTTATATATATAGTTTCACACCAAAATTCTAACAATCATGTGGTTATGTTATGTCAGTTGGACTTCATCAGTTTTAAGGTATAATAGGGCTGAAAATAATTATGGAATTCAAGGTTACTGGCAACAAGTTGTTATATGATCAATAATTTGTAAAATAACTTAGATAACTTTAAAAAAAATAGAATGAATTACCTAAGAATACCAAGATACAAATAAGTTGATTAAATTAGCTGGAATAGTAATCATAATTAGGTAAAAAAGTCATTTGGTAACTACAAAGATAAAGAAAGTTCATCTGTAAAACTTCATGCATAGATGATCACGGCAAAGAAAGAGGGCGGGGTTGCATAGATTTCCTTTGAACACACAGATATAGCTTGTTTAAATGAATTCCGATTGTCTCTGTTGTATGTAAAAGTTCTTCTTGTAGGATATGCTTTGTTAATGTCAACGATGATGCCTGAGTTAGTTAGTATTGAGCTGCGTATAGCTTTACTCGACCGGTTAGCCTAATCAAGCTAAACAGTGTTCAAAAATCCGACAATGAACTTCCCCAAGCATATATCCAATGTAACAAGGTCCACGGAAGCGATTAAACTGGTAAATGCACTGGAAGTGGCAAAATTTGGCCGTCTGTTTATATTTTTTGAACTAAGTATTACCTGGCTACTGAATAAACAGAATTGCTCAGTTCCATTGAAAGCACCTTTGATGATATTTATCAAATGTGATACAATCTCACTAGTAATATCTCTTATGAGTTGTTGTGTAGAGAGCAGTTGATGAAGAATCTATAGGAAGAAATATATTTACTCACTCAATTTGTTGTTATTTTGTTTTCTCTAAATCATTTTATTGACAGAGTTTATGTTGATTTTTCAAAGCAACCACGGGGATTTACGGCAACACATTTCCTAATCATTTCAGTGGGTGACTAGGGCATGTGTTGTTATACATTCCAAACCATTGCCTTCCTCGTTGAGTAATTTTAGCTAATATAGGACTAATCTGGGAAAGAGGCCTTTATGGTGCAGTAGCGTTCACCTTTTGTAATTTCCCACATCTGTTAGGTCCCCATAGTTTCCCATGCCAGTATTCTTTCTCCCTCACCTTTTTGTTCATTTTACTTCTTCTGAATGTTTTTTTCCTCTGTTTTGTATACCTTTGTGTACTGTGTGGAGTATGTCAATTTGAACGTCTGCACTTCTGTGCAAAGATTTATGTTTAAACTCACTCAAGTCAGTTAGTCAGTCTTCACTTTGTTAGTGAAAATGTCCATTTGTTTGTTCTTAAATTATCAGGTATTGGTTTTTGTAGGGATTTTGTTTGATTGCATGGAGTTGACATCAGTTAGAGAACCACTGGCAAACCAGCTGGGAGTACTGGACAGCTGTTTCGTCAGCCTAGTTTGGGACTCATCGGCAGTACTCACCCACTATAGAGGTTCAAACCGATGAGCCTCTGGTTACAAGGTTAGCGAGCTCGTAGACCATTGAGCCACTGGGACCTGATCCAATGGCCGGCCCATGAATTCTAACTTCTGCCAATTCAACAAAAATTGTAAATAATGGTAATAGTGTTAGTAGTTAAGAATGCCAATTAATTGAGATAGTGTCACCATAGATAAGAAATTGGAGATAATAAGACAGCCGATTATTTTGCTAACAAAATAGTCATTCATTGGTTTCACGCTTAACACTGTCTATATAGCATGGAAGACTGGCAGGCGAAATATGGTAACCTTGAGTTCCTATACTTGATAGTACGGGCATATAGTCTTTTGAACTGAATTTTATTTTTACCGAATGAAACACAAAGAGAGAGTTGAGAATAGAGGGGTTGTGAAGGGTCAAACGATATGGATTTAGACCATTTCACTCACACATGTTAGTTCAGGTGTCTGTCAATTACATAAGTAAAGAACTTACTAAGTGGTGCACCACTTGCCCTACTGACAACCTTTAATACCCTTTCTGTTTCAGTATTCTCTATACTGCTACACAAGTATCTTGTGAACAGACGATTTCGTGCAGATCGTATTTGTGCCTATAGATGGTGAAGTTAAACTGTCTGACATGTATACAGATATCAGATAGTTAACTTCACCTTTATCAGAATTTCATGACATATCCGGCTTTATAATTATCAAGAAAAAGGCATAAAAAAACACATCCTATACAGCCATGAACCAGTTTAACATTACACATAAGTATGTATCGGTGGCACAGCGCGGTTAGGACTCTTGCCGACCATACAAATGGTCCGGGGTTCGATTCCCTACCAAAGCACACTTGATATCAATTGTTCGGCTTGCAAAATTTGGGCTACCTATATCACATGCTGGAAATTCCATACTTTTACCAAAAATACGGTGTGTGGAATCAAGCTACAATCAAAAAGTGACTTATGTCACATGACATATCGCCTGATATGCCTTGGAGATTATTATCCTTTTAGTTTTATTTTATTTTATTAGCTTTTTTAAACGATTACCTGATTCAATTGATTGATTGACTGCCTGACTGACCGACTAACTAACAATCTGTTCATTTCCTAGTCAGAACAATGCATGAATATACATTTTAATCAATTTAAAATTCCCTCTACATAACACGGTATCGCTCTTCTATCATTTAATATTATTACGTTTATATTGATTAGCTAGATAAGCTAGCTTGTCTTCAGCATTGACTATAATTATCTTCAATGTTTTACTCATGCTCACGAGCGGATGTTTCTGTATGTCTGTGTGTATGCGTGTTGGAGAGGAAAGAATAAGTATATGTCTTACTTCAGTGTATATATGTTTGTATATTTGTGTGTGTATATGTGTGTTTAAGATTGTGGAACAGTTGACCTTATTTTCTCTGACCTAATCATATTACATAAATCGCATTTCACTTTTGGGCTATTGTAAGCCTTAAATAATTCTAGGTCATCCAATATGTTTAGGTAACCTGAATAAATATATTAGCATATGTATGCATGCGCCAAAACTATCTGCAGGCATGAGAATGATTGTATCAATGTCACTGGTGGTGGTTATCAACCTTAATGTGACTTGATTATAACATGTGAACCAATCAAGAGTTACGCCGGTGGCCTATGTTCTAAGATTTGATCAATACATATTGAAACAAGTAAACAAAAGAATTATATATACATATAGGAAATCTAGCCATATGTCATATAAACTATTTCTCTGATCATGTGTACAGATATGCAAGCATAGTTCAAACTTGATAGTTTAGAGGGATTTGGTCTTATAACTTTTTTCGCAACTTTGGCCCGTTAATTTTAGACACTGGGTCATAAGTTCTAGGACCCTACTCACTGTATGTAGGCTCAGGCAGCTGTATAGTATCATCATCGCTTACATAATGAGTATTTTTTTTTCAAATTTGATCACAGATTGATATCAGTTAGAGAAGCACTGAAATCTGCTAAGGAGTACTGGACAGCTGTTTGATCAGCCTACTTTAGGACTGATCGTCAGTACGCACCCACTCACTGGGTTTCGAATTTCGGACCTTCCAGTTACAAGGCTAGCTGGAACCCAATTCAATGACCAACGAATGAATTCTAACTTCTACCAATTCGTGATATATTTAGCGCGTGACCACCAACCAATGTTATCAGTGGGGACTCCATCCTCACTCCCGACTGGATAAACCCCACTGGTGTCACAACTTTTCATTAGAACTACAGGAAACTCCGTTCTGTGTAGGAAGTCACTAGCGAGCATTAGATTAATTTTCAAGAATTAGTTTGTAGAGATTCTATTTGTCTTAGGTTAGACCATGGACACTTATATCAAGTCGCGCTAAAATCATGAATTGGTAGAAGTTAGAATTCATGCGGTGGCCAGTGAATCGTGTCTCACTGGCTGTGAATGGTCTTCGAGCTTACCTTGTAACTGGGAGGTCTTAGGCTCGAAACCTTGTGGGTGCGTACTGCCGACGAGTCCCAAACTAGGATGAAACAGGTGTCCAGAAGTCCTTAGCAGTTTTCACTGCTTCTCTAACTGATATCAATCCGTGGTCAGATGCGAAAAACAAATCAGATCCCTTACAAGTCAACTCTTAAAAATGATGAGTATGGCTCATTACCAAATTACATGCGAACACATCTAATGTGTCTTTTGTTTAATTTCATCATAGATGTATTCATAAAATTTGATGCTGACTTACTTTATTGACGTAGAAATTGGCATCATACTAGGGAACAGTCTCATCAACTTAGAACACGCAACTGTTATCGTCCTCTTAGGTGAAGACGTTGACAAAATTGATATGTATCCACATGATGTGTGTGTTTTGTTGTTGACAGTCTATTATATTTCGCTATGTGTATATGGATCGATATTTCATTATAACTGGCAATATGCTTTTGTCTGTCCACTAACTAAACAAACGTGGATGACCTTGTTGTCACATGACATTACAGCCAATCATGTTAAGACTATCTATTTATTGGTTCATGTGTATTAGCCATTTTCATATATACTTTTGTATTAGACAGTTGTTTACTTTTCTTGTGTACACACACACATTTCGTACATCTAAGTACCCTTCCACTCACACTTGTGTGACATTTATTTTCCTTGTCTGGAAAATACAAGTATCATCGTGAACCTGGTGGTCTTCTGATTTTCCTCTTGCGCGTCAGGACTATTAACTACTCGACGAGTACATAACATAATTAGCGACGGGGAAAACTCTAATAACTCACTCAGCAGCAGTACATAACAAAAAATGCAAGGTTTTCCGAATGCCTTAAGAAGAAATCCTCTCATGTTTGATGTGTAATTCTATCCTATCCGATGAAAGATAATGTCAAAGGATTGAACTACACGGACTCCTAAATTTAATGTAGGAAGTGAAATGGTAGAGCTTGTTAATCATTTTATCAGCCCTAATGGACTGATTACTGAGAAAATTTCAGCATGGATACAAAAAGCTCGTGTGGCATCTGCTGACTTATGTTATCTCTGGTGTACACGTGATGTCGGACTATTGATCAGGGAACGTGTGTACCGCGCATCGATTGGCTCTGTCATCTTTTTTTAGCCATGAGACATTGACATTGGAAGTGGAAGACTCGAAGGGATTAGCTGTCTTTGACCACATGTGTCCGTATTCTGTCTCCGTTGTTAAATGGTGAGTAGTATCAAAGTTGGGTATAGTGCCAGGTAACGAAGAGAAATCGTTAGGTGAAGTTGTGAAGTTACGTTGATTAAGATGTGTAGGATACGTGTTACACACGCCGATCCATTTGCTTCCTTGACGAGCTGTGTCAGCTGACATAGAGCTGGGTTGGAGAAGAGCTATAGAGTGGTCAAACCAAAAACCTGATATCAGTCCATGAAGTCTTTGACTGTTCGTTTGAGCCATGTAGGAAGATGTAGGCTACAGATTGGAAGTCCTTGAAATGCTAAGAACCAATGACTTGTAACTGTTCGTAATAAGGCTCAGAATCGTTCCTCTTGGAACAGATGCATTTAATCCTTTTGAATCCCTTTTGTCTATCTTTTTGCCAACTTTGTGTGCTAGATGCAGAGTGTGGCATCTAGAACTCCTTCACTTTGCTGCAGAGTTCCATGTTTAAGCTCAGTCAGTCGTATGCGAATACAAGTGGTTATCAGTTGAAGAACGTAGAAAATATTTCATTGACTTTTATCTGTAACCAATGAAGAAAATACTCCAATTAGGTTTGGGGCACTCAGCCAGCTGGTATCATTGTATCAAATGGGAAGTGGGCGTATATTTGAAGTTTTTTGATAGGCTTATTCGTCTACTAAATTCTGTGATCGACAACGTACATAGGACTATTCAAAAGAAAGCATAAAATAACTGTACGTATCTGTTATTCACATATGGTGTGGTTGTATGTTATTCCACGGGGCATATGCATCTCTATGCCGTTCAGCAATGTGCAAGCATATTTTATGTGGACTAGTGATACTATTTGGCTGTTCAAATCTCTGTAGGTGGAACGTGGCTGAAATCTGTTGCCATCACATAGTTGGAAATCGATGCCCTAGACCACTGAGCCGCAGTTTCATATTCACTGCTTACATAATAATAATAATAATTTGCTTTATTCCAAAACAATACTTGCGATACAGAATGGAATTCTCAGCATTTTACTACAGTATTGCATCCAGTTAGTACATTAACAATGAATAAAGTTCTACATAGATTGAGGGTAATCTCAGTTCATTATGACAACAACATATTGGCATGTCGGTAGCAAAGCCAAAATTGAACAGAATGTTTGAAGGTGTTAGAAAAGTAGACGCTAGCATATTTACTGGCGTAAGCGGTAACAAAAGATCGAGGTATACAGAGTGTGAGAGAACGAAGAAGAATGTTATAAATAGAGTTAGTAAGAAAGAAAGAAACAAAGCAGCACATAACAGAAAAAAGAGAGAGAAAAGGAAAAGAAAGAAAGAAAAAACGTTGTACCTATAAATGATATGAGTTGGAAAGACGAGATCCGATTGTTCTACTGGCTATTTAATAAGTTAAAGGTTTCACGTCTAATGCTTTCTTTATCGCACAGAACACGAGCTAAGTAGGGTATGGTTGAGTTTTTATACTTGCTAGAGCGAGCATATAGTTTTCTGTATAGACTTCTGGTTTCGCCTGATGAGATACAAGGGTAGAATTGTGAGTGAAGAGGGTGGTGTGAGTTAGGTAAAATGGATTTAGCCCATTTTTCACATGAATTCAAGTGCCTGTCAACCAGAATATTAACAAGCTGGTTAAGTGGCGGATTGCTTACCCTGCTGACAACCTTTAGCATCCTGCGTAATAAGGTATAGTCTTTCTTCAGTAACCCTGGAAAAACTAGGGGGGAACAATAGAGAATAATAGGCAGAATATGGAAGTTAACGAATTGTAGGAGTAAGGGTTGGGTTACACCAGAATGTCTTAACTTCTTGATGTAGAAGGTAAGACGGAATATTTTCTTAGAAATCATCAAGATATGAATGTGTCATAATTTTTTGAGTAATTTGAAGTCCTCTGTATTGTTTACCGTCAATTGATCAATCGGTCATTTAAGACACCTTAATGTTCAATTCGAAACTTATCCGATTTTACGCATGACGACACTGGGCCTCAGGTCAAAGTGAATGCAAGTTTCTTAACTTCTTTATGCATGTGTCTCTTGGATGGTTATCATTGATAAATTACGGTTACGTAACAGTCGATTGTTGGTCCTCAATAACCTGAAACACATTTATGCTATACGTAGGATAGTTTTAAGTATTCAACTAAACTTATTATTTCAAGTATTAATAATAATAATAATGGGACTTCTCTTAATTGTCTTTATTACAGGTTAATATGCGTGTTGGTGTACACACAGGCAATGTAATTTGTGGTATTGTCGGGACAAGACGTTTTAAATTCGATGTCTGGTCAAATGATGTAACATTAGCTAATGAAATGGAATCTAGTGGCGAAGCTGGAAAAGTTCATATATCTGAAGCTACTTTAAGTTTTGTAAAAGATATTTATGAAGTATCTGAAGGAAAACCTGTTCAAGGTAAACTCATTTGTATGAATGTATACTATTCATTTAATGTCATTTTTAATCCGGGCAGAGGAGATGTTATTATTCAGTACATCATAACAAGATAATAAATTCAACCAGTATGTACTTTTGATCAATATTTTTTCATTTATCCTTAACGTTTTCGGTGGAACACAGGACTTCAAGCTAGTAACTTGAAGTTTCGGTAGCACTGGTGTTTATTTTACGGGATGGGGTTACTAGCCCCACGCTCAATCTTCCCTCTTTACCAGTCTTGCTTACTGGCTTAGTGAGGTAAAGGAGTGCGTCTGTGGCCTGGGATCGAATCCCGGACCACCTGTGTGGTCGGTGATCATTCTACCGCTATACCACCGACGAAACTGATCAATATTTAGAAAGCGATTATTGGTTAAGCTTAGCAACGAAATGGGTTTCAAATTGACACACTTTTTTGGTTCATCTATCATTCAGAAAATTCAAAAGTCAAAAAATGTTAAAGGTTAAGATCAGTTTTAATAAGCAACTCTTTCTAAGGGCGAAATGAACAGAATCCAGCTAAGCTGATTTTTGATAATAATAATAAGAGTGAGTTTATTTCAAACATTAGTGTCGATTTAGTTTAGAAATTTTTAGCGTGTAATGGATTATTAAATCTAATGTTCTGTTCATATAGTATGGTGAGGGGAAAGAAAACATTAACAGTTATTTACACAGCTTAAATGATGTTTGACACTTACGAGAAAATAAACAAATAAAAACAAAAAAAATTTGAGAGGATTATAAATATAAGAAGAACAATAACAATAAAGCTTGGTGGAATAAGAATGGAGAAAATGGTTTATTTAGTAGTACAAAGAGGGTTAGTTGGTTCATGCCTAACACTATTTTCATCACATAAGGTACGTGCCGCGAAATATGGTATAGTGGAATTTTTATACTTAGACGTATGTGCATAAAGTCTTTTGAAAAGACTTGTTGTTTTAGCTGAGGATAAAGTGGATGCTCACAATTTGACAAAATTCCTTTAGCAAATTTGTTGCATGAAATCAAGTGCCTATCAACGACGATATCAACGATATGGCCCAATGGGATACCACTCGCCTTACTGACAGTCTTCAGAGTTCTGCGAAGTATGACATAGTCTTTTTTAAGCAATCCAGGAAAGAATAAGGGTGAACAGTAAAGAAAATAGGTAAGATTTAAAAGTTGACAAAGTGTAACAGGAGGAGGGGTTGAGTTATGCCTGAGTGCCTTAACTTCTTAATGTAAAAAGTCAGACGAAATATTCTTTTAGAAATCGCTAAGACATGGGAAGACCAGGATAGGTCAGAAGAAAGAATTAATCCAAGCTAGTTAACTTCAGACTTGATTTCTGTATGAATATCATCAATTTTTCAACGGTCATAGGAACCAACAGCTTCATTTAACTTTCTTTTACATTGGAAACTAAAATTAACAGTCTGACATTTGGAAGGATTTAGTTTAAGACCATTTGCTAACTCCTGATAGAAAGCTGTTCATCTTAGTACAGTCTTGCTGGGAGTTAACAGACATTGAAATAGTTAGATCGTCCACATACTTAACAAAGTTCATTTCATCAGAGTGGGGCAAGTCATGCAAGAAGAAAGAAAACAGAAAAGAAAGGACAGCGCCTTGACGGATGTCAGCCTCGGTAAGCAATGAGGTGGACGACCTTCCTTGACATACAGTGTACTGCTTTCTTCCTGATAAATAAGAATGCAGCCATTTGACAACCCGACAGTCAGTTTGAGTTTGAGAAAGCTTGTTTAACAAAATATCCCTAGGTACTAAGTCGAAAGCAGATGTGTAGTCAAGGAAGGTGCTGCGAACAAATTTAGCTCCCTTGTCTAAACTGGGGACAGTGTTATGATGCAAGACTGCAGCTACATCTAAAGTACTTCTACTGTGTTTATAGGTGAATTGTTTGGGATCGTTAAAGGCTTTAAGTGCAGGTTGAAGATTAATTAAGAGTAACTTTTCCATAGTTTTTAGAAAAAGAGACGTAATAGCAATAAGTCTAAATTTAAAAGATGTTCCAGTAGATGACTTAGATATAGGTACAATTTTAATGTCCTTCCAAACGGCTGGTACGACATTTCAGGTAAAAGGTTCATTAAATATGTCCATGAGAGGATAACACAGGATATCTGCACATTTTTAAAGAATAAGGCTACGCAAACATCTGGACCTAGGCTACAAGAAGGGTTTATAGACTGGAGGCATTTTAGAACGTCATTTGTATCAAAACCAGGGAAACAGGTTTCATTTACACTTGTGGCACTTGAAAGCTTGGTTTGGCCACGACCTTAATTCATTTAGAGGGTCATCGAAAACTAGCAGGGAGTACTGGACAGCTGTTTCATCCTTGTTTGAGGTTATTCACCAGTACTCCTTGGTTTTCAGTAGTTTTTTCTAACCGGCTTCATTTCTTGCTCAAACTTACAATCGATGAAATCCCTACGGATTAACACTTGAATAATGAACTGATTTCGAAATTTGGTACTCTCACTTACCTGGAACAGACCATGAACCATGCATGTAGAGTCTTCTGAACACCTTGAGCAGCAATCTTCGTATGTTTGGCATGTGACTCGCCCCTGTAAAATTTAAGATGCTGCTACAGGACTGGACTACGTCAACTCCTAGCTTAGTGATAGGGAGTGAAGTGATAGAACATGTTGACCACTTCACCTATTTGGGAAGTTGGTTCAGCACCAATGGACTGATTGGCGACTAAATCTCAGCACGGATCCAAAAAGCTCGAGCTGCTTGTGCTGACTCACACCATCTCTGGCGTAGGCGTGACATCCGGTTATCAACCAAGGGACATGTGTACTGCTCAGCAGTTCGCTCCGTCCTTCTCTATGGCTTTGAAACATGGCCAATACGAGTTGAAGACATGAAAAGGTTGACTGCTTTCGATCATAGATGTCTGCGATCTCTGTCTCACGTTAGGTGGTTTCACAAGATAAGTAATGTTGACGTTAGGCGTAGAGTGTTGTGCAAAGAGGGAAAATCAATCGACGAGGCTATAAAGTTACATAGACTAAGATGGCTAGGTCACATGCTGCGCATGCCTAACCACCGCCTCCCCCGACGGGCTTTGCTAGCTGATATAGGTTCAGGTTGGAAAAGAGCCAGTGGTGGCCAAACAAAAACATGGCATCAATCCATGAAATCCTTGACAGTTAAACTGAGTCAGATAGGGAGATGCAGACTCCCAGGTTGGGGCCCTCGGGACTCTAGGAATCAATGGCTGGAGACAATAGGTGACATGGCTCAAAATCGTTGTCAATGGCCAGCGCAGATGTATTCAGTCTCTGTAATCTTTCATATTCCTTTCTACCATTATCCATTCTGTTTCACTCTTATATTTGTCTATTGATTCTCTTCACTCATCTTCTTGTCTACTTCTGTGTGCTATTTGGAAGGTGGCAACTCGAACTGGTGCACTTCGGTGCCAAGTTCTATGTTGAATCCAGACAGACAGATGAACCATGCATATTGTATGCGGGTCAGAGTGAGTGTGGTGGGGCTCATACCAGATGTCCAATGGCAGTTAAGTTGAATGCTTAAATCACTGAACCACAACCCTAAATATTCAGCATAATAAATGATAACTGTTCAACCAATGATAACATTTCTGTTCACTTTTCGAAAGAATACAAAATACCGTAAACACTCGATGGAACAAAATAAACTTTCTTTTCAACTGTTGGTTTGCAGGGATTTGATTGGTTACAGGCTTCATCAGGTGGTGATACCAGTTAAAGAACCATTGGAAAACCAGGGACTATCAGAGGGGTCTGCCAAGTCAGATAGGAGGATGGTTAATTGCGAATAACATTGGCTGGCCCTGTATATCACAAATTGGCAGAAGTTGGAATTCATGGATCACTGAGTCGTGTACCAGTGGCTGAGAGTGATCTGAGAGCGATCCTTGTATGCGGAAGGTCCTTAGTCCGAACCTTGGTGGGTGAGAGTACTCATGAACAGTCCCAAACTGGCATGAAACAGCTGTCGAGTACTCCATGCTTTTCCAGTCGTTCTCTGACTGATATCAGAGATCAACTTCGTTGGAAGGTAGCATACCATTCAATCAAAGGTCGTCACCAAGTTGATCGTGGGTTCTAACTGCTTTTATCAGTTGAGTAGTCCCGTCAGTAGTCGTTGTTAACATAATAGGTGTTGCTAACTGCTAACTGAGTGTTTATGGTGGTTAACTTTTAAGTAGCGCTGTTTTTTCTTCAGTTTACTTGAGTAGCTTTTATCGTCCCCTTGGACGATAACATTTTTGGGGTTTACTTCAATGTGAAGTTAGTTATTTTGAAATTCTCCAATGAATAATTAGTTGTCTTCAGATGTGTTCTTATTGTCTTAGTTGTATTAGCTTGTATTTTTATTGATCGTTTTTCGTTGACGTGTGAAATATTTGACCTTTTTGCTTAGTGATATATTCTCTATTGATCATTAAATAGAATCCATGACAGCTTTTCTGTTCAGTGAAGATTGATTTGAATAACTAGGCTTTTTAGGAATTCTCTGACAATTTTTGTAAACATCTGCTGTTTAAAATTTTCAGGTTTTCACAGTTCTATTGGTGTCTGTGGTTGTCTTTATGTATTGATTTACGGGGGTGGGGGGTGGATGGGTGGTGGTTCAGGGAGGGAAATTTGACAGTTGTATTTTCAGTGACATTTGTGTCAATGTGAATTATTGGTCAGGGATTCAAGACCCTATGTCAAAAAAGTATTTCCTTATGTTATTTCATTATGAGCTGACATTGGTTAGAGAACCATTGGAAGGCACCTGGGAGTACTGGACAACTGTTTCGTCCTAGTTTGGGACTCTTCAGCAGTAGGCACCCACCGGGGTTTGAACCCACGACCTTATGCTTACAAGGCGAGCTCGTGTACGATTAAGCCACTGGGACCCGACCCAATGACCAGCCCATAAATTCCAACTTCTGCCAATTCACGACATAGAGCGACCGCTAGCCAATGTCTTCGGCGAGTATTTGTCTTCACACCCAACCTGCTGCACCCTACTGGTCACGACTTCTCACTAGAACCCCAGGTAACTACCTACCTGAATAGGGCAAATCGCTAGTGAGCATCTCATCGATATTCAAGTGTTGGTTTGTAGGGATTTGATTGGTTATAGTCCCAAGCTAGGACGAAACAGCTGTTAAGTACTTCCAGGTGCTTTCCAATGGTTCTCTAACCAATATCAGCTCCAGATGAAATACTATGACCAATCAAATCCCTACAAACCAACACTTGAATTTCCTTATGTGTTTAATATGTTTCTAAGAGAAGTCTGCATAATGTTTTTCTTCAGTATAATAGTTAATGAGTACTCAGTTATTCGGAACAAATTTATCATGTACCAGGCTGTATGAGGCGTAATTATTATTGTATGAGGTTTGATGATATTACCTAGATGTTCAAATTTCAGTAGATGAAGAGTGTTCGCAACGTGTGTCGGGGTAGTTAATAATCATCAGTCGGGTGTATAAACTGGTGCGCCATTCCTCCACCCATTTTCACTTTTCATAGGACAGATAACTTCAGTCGCTGGAGGAATTAAAGCTAGGACTGAACTTGTGCATAACATGGTTTTTTTCTAAAACATTTCTAAAGCATTTTCCGTCGATTGATGATATTGGACCGAAATGTTCCGTGTCTGTTAACGAGTGGTCGCGTTCTACTATGGATTGGATGCTTCGATAATAACATAGTCAAGTTGATACCTGTTGTACAAGAGGTGACTGTTGTCGTCCAATGGTCTAATTTCTTTTAGACGTGGTTGCGAAGCTTTCGTTCCTCTTCCTTCTGGACAGCATCTTCAGCACAGGCTTCACTATCAAGTGAACTTATATGCATTCTCCATGAATGTGATATAATTGTATTTCTTGACAACCTTTATCGTGATTAGTTGTCAGTTTACATTAGTATTGATCGTTTCCATTGTCTCTAAATTTAACTTTTATTATTAGTTGATAAATTTTGTCTGTAGTAATAGATTGACTAATCTCTGATTCGTGTGATCATCAGGCTTTTAGGAATTCCTTGGCATATTTTGGTGTTTCAACTGTTTAAAATTTCTACATTCTTTTAATCAATGTACTGGTGTCCAAAGTTGTCTGCGCATATTGTTATAGATAAATAAATGGTTTATCTTTCGGCAGCTATGCTTCATGTTCTCGGACTCAAAGTCTAAATCAAATTTATCAACTAATAAAGAATATTTTTCAAGTATTGGTTTTGTAGGGATTTATTTTGATTGAATGGAAGATTTCATCATGAGCTGACATCAGTTAGAGAACCACTGGAAAACCAGCTCGGAGTTCTGGACAGCTGTTTCATCAGACTAGTTTGGGACTCTTCATCAGTACGCACTCATCCCATCGCGGTTCGAACCCATGACCTTGTGGTTACAAGGCGAGATCGTGGACCATTGAGCCACTGGGACCCAGTCCAATGGTCAGCCCATTAATTCTAACTTCTGCCTATTCACGACATGGCGCAACCATTTCGCAATGTCTTCTTCGATGACTGACTGCCTCATCTTCAACATGCTGTGTCCTATTGGTCACGGTTTCCCACTAGAATCCCAGGTTAACTTCCCGAATAGGGCCAGTCGTGAATTGGCAGAAGTAAGAATTTATGGGCCGGCCATTGGATCGAGTCCCAGGGACTCAGTGGTCTACGAGCTCGCTAGCCTTGTAACCAGAAGGTAATGGGTTCGAACCCCGGTGGGGTGGGTGCGTACTGATGAAGAGTCTCAAACTAGGCTGACGAAACAGCTGTCCAGTACACTCAGCTGGTTTTCCAGTGGTTCTCTAACTGATGCCAACTCATGATAAAATCTTCCATCTAATAAAGAATAAACCACATGACATTGAAGGTTAAATTTCAAGTCAATAAACACTAATGTAATGTAATGTAATGCATCCACTCCCTGTGACTCATGATCTTCAATGAAACTGTTTTGTATTTCTTTATTACTCCTTTGTCTCACACCTCTGCTCACTGTTTCTATTATGCTTTTCTTGTACTTTCTTCTCTTGCTTCGCGTGCTACACGGAATGTGGCGACTTGAACTTCCGCACATTTGTGCAAAGTTCTATGTCGAAAACAGACAGACAATGTAAATTAACAGCCAATCATAACACACACGCTTACTTCATATTGAGGTTTACGCTTATGCATATATAAGTGATAATATACAATTAAAAGATATGTAATACTAGATTGAAAATCAACAAGAAAATTTATACTGCAATTGAATATTGTTAAACACAATATGATAGCCGCCAAGTTGTAGAGAAAGCCGTCTAAAACGATTTTCTTCTGAACACATAAATGTGACTTCTTAGCGTGGATTGCGACGATGGCTTCAGGTGTATATATATATAAAAGCCGAACTCCTAAGGTTGTCATGCAATTGACAATAGTCGGGATACGGTGGATAACTAAACTTTATGTTCATTGTGCACAAGATGAGTTAGAATAGATCTGTGTGGGTTTTGAATATTATATAAAATGGTCTTCTTCGATTCCACAGTGCCAGAAACATTATCCAACCGTTTACTTTCTTTATATTTCCATCATTTTTTTGTCTTTTTGTTTTCCCCTCTCCTCTCCTTTCTTTTTTTAATTTAGATATACGCAAATTTAAGGTGTTGATTGAATTCTTCAATAAGGAAGAACAATGCTTTGCTATAAAACATACTCAAGATGAAGCAAGTAAGCAAGTAATTTACTCACTACATATTAATCACTGAATTAATGAATTAATTTTTTGATAAATTAATGCTCAATGCTTCAAGTTTTTCTGTTGTTAAAGAAAATCAACGTTTTTATGGCAACCTATTATTATTATTATTGTTTCCTTTGGTTCCTAAAAGAACATAGGGCTTCAGTCTCACGTCTCCATTGCCTTCAGTTCTCTGCCAACGCTTTCACCACCTAACTCCACGTTTGCCCACATGTTTTCATCTCCTCTTCGCATGATCTCCTCGATGTCACCCCACTCTCTCACTCTCGCATTGACGACCGACTCACCGCTTCCCACCTTGGTTCCACTTGATATCACTTGATGGTTTGTTTTCTCAGAGTGTGACCAATCCATTTCCATTTCTTCCTGCTGGGTTGGTTCGCTCATTGCTGGAGATCCCTGTTGATAAACTATTCTGGCTGGCTATCTGGTCTTCAGTGGTATTGAGTGAAGACAGCTGTTGATGAAGGTCTTCAATTTTTTCGAAGTGGCCTTCGTGACGCGCTGGCCAAGTCTCTGATCCGTATAGTAGCACTGACTGAATTCACATTGAAGTTGAAAATCCGGATCTTATTTTTCAGGCTGAGTACTGCTGTTGACCACCTCCACACAGACTTGAGAGTAAGGGAAGACTGTCTTGCTTCCCCGATCCTCGCTTTGACATCCTCATCAGTTCCATCTGTCTGTATTTGAAACGATGCTTCCCAGGTAGGTGGGTAGGTAAAGGAGGTTGCTTCTTTCAGATCTCTCCCACTTACGCTGGCTGATTGTTGTCTGTTGTTGTTGTTGTTGTTGATGGTGGTGGTGTTGACCAGGAATCTTCATCATCTCTGTCTTCTTTATGTTCATCTGAAGAGTCGATGAAATTATTGACTTGTTGTTTTGTCAGTTATATTTAGGTTTCTTATACTATTGTTAGTACCATTAATAGCAATAATAATTAATAATAATGGCAGTATTAGAAGTGGTTGTATTATTAGTGAGTACATGCATTTATTGCAATAATAAGAAAGATTTTGCGGCTCAGGTGGATGATTTTGATGTCATAGTTGTATTCTCTCAGCTGGTTGATTTAATCTCCGAAGCTTTCATTGTCCATCCTTTTAGAAAACATCTTCAACGTAAACTATTATAATAAAGTGAACTTATTTGAAATGTCTCTCCATAAAGGATACTATTGTATATCCTGACAGGCATTTTTGCGGAATATAGAATAGCAGAGAATTATCGATTAAATGTTTTCAGAAAGAATGCATACTCACAGAATTTTATCAGAAAAAATCTTTTAACTCAAATCTACCATATGTATATGGTAGAATGAATTTTTCTCCTGGTCTTTGACGATGGTTTACTTATTAGTAGTTCGATTTGAGTTTAAAGATTTTTTCTAATGAAATTCTATGGATATGCCTTCTTTTTTGAAGACAATTAATCGATATTTCTCTTTTATTCTGATATATTTGATGTTAAGTGGTAAACTTCCATTTTATTAATTGAATTTGAATCACCAGTCTCTTTCTGACTTTTCTGATTTTCCGATAGAGAAAGGAAGACCAAAGTCGCAGTGTAAAATGATATGATCATTCTATTTCACAGGTTCTTAGATCAAACTTATGCATAGAGAAAGAGAGAGTGTAGTCAATCTCTCACTCCACTGGTAACCGTATTACTTTCATTACACACTGATTAGTGATACACACTAGATGAGCTCAGCTCATTAAGTAAGTTTTCAATTTGATGAACGTTAACCTTCTTGAGTTACCGCGTTGATGTACAAGCTAACACTGTTTATTAGATATTTCTGTTTTCTGTCTTCTCTCACGCCCTTCCCCCGTCTTATTTTCATAGTTTGGTAGCATATAAATTGATGGTAATGTAAACTAAAATTGTAATACTTATATTACGGATGCGTTCATTTTATAATGTTTTCTCTAATACTTTTCAAACATTGAAGTATGGTATTGTCATTATTAACAAGAATTTTCAAGTATTGATGTTTTAGAGATTTTGTTTGATTGGATGGAGGATTTCACCATGAGCTGACATCAATTAAAGAACCACTGGAAAACCAGCTCGGAGTTATAGACAACTGTTTCGCCAGACTATTTTGGGACTCATCGGCAGTACGCACCCACTACAGAGGTTCGAACCCATTACCTTCTGATTACAAGGCTAGACCGTTGAGCCACTGGGACCCGATCCAATGGTTCTGGAATTCTAACTTCTGCCAAACCACGACATAGCGTGACCATTTCCCAATGTCTTCTTTAATGAGTTACTGCCTCATCTTCCACCTGCTGTACCCTACTGGTCACGGCTTCCCACTGGAACCTAAGGTTAACCGCCTGAATAGGTAGTCTGCAGATGATGAGAATCTGTGAAATAGAATGATGATATCATTTTATACTGCAAATCTGGTCTTTCTTTCTTTATTGAAACATATCAAGGGAACCAAATATACGAAATATTTTGATTTTCATTTCAACTTCTTTTTACTTTTTATCGTCTATTGACACCCGCTGAGCAGAATTTTTAATGTAGAGAACTGTGCACAAATGTCTAACAGTTTAGTCCAAGTTATCACACTCCATATATTTGTCATCTAATACATAAATGTAGAGGAAAATATGTCAAAGTACTTATAAAACACGGGAGAATAATGAGAATTCAACGGATTGAGAAGTCCATAAAAGAGTGAATGCATCTGTGTTTGTTGACAATAATTTTGCAATTTGTCATTAATAGTCCTCTAGTCAATGGGTTCTTGGCATTCCGAGGTGGCCTGTACCTCCCTAGATGGCTCAAGTCTACAATCAAAGACTTCAGTATAAAAGAAGAAACTCATTTAGACAATGCTCTTACCTTCTGAATCAAAGACTTCATGATCTGACTGATTGATGCCACCCCTAACTCTTTTCCAACGTAATCTTAAACTGCATGACTCCTCTTAGTTTCATCGATTGATTTCTCATCCTTTCCTTCCTAACACTTTAAACCTAACCTCAATATTACGCACCATATTATATTACCACCTATCACGGGAGGTAGAATACAGAGACTATTGGTCGAAGATGACTAGCGTCTTCATGTCTTCTACTCTCAATGGTCACATTTTATCGCAATAGAGAAGAGCACAGTGAACTACTGTGCACAGTACACACATCTTTTGGCCAATGTCTACTCTGAAAATGATGTAAGTTGGTGAAAGGCATACGAGCCTTTGTATCTTTGCTGAGACTTTATCACCAGTCAGTCTATTGCATAAATATCATGTCCTTCTCAATCTAATGATTGATTATCTCTCTGAGTTGGGGATGTGGGGAAGTTGATGGTGGTGAACGATTTTATCAGCTGTTGTTTGTCTTTTTTCATAGATTTATTTTAATAGTATTAAATCCAATATTTATCTTAAATCAATGGCATAATGTTGTATCCTCCCCTACATCACAGTTACCACATACTTTAACTTAATCCTAAGTTCCTGTTATTTGCGGAGACGTTTTGAATCGGTAATTATTAGATACCATTATCGACTTTAACTCCAAAACACAAGGACCAATAAAAACTTATATTGTTCGGCAGTTAAATTCGATATTTCATACAGAGTCTATAAATAAATGTTTTACAAGGAGTGTACTGTACTTTTATTCGTATTCTTTCGTCTTCTTCCAATTTGTACACGATTGAATCATTCGCGCCTTCGAGTTGCTCGCCGATGGCGACCAAGGTCAATGAACCAACGTTCGATGTTCGCATTCCTTAACATCTCATGTGACCCAGATATAGGTTTGAATCCTGTTTCATCTATGGAGCTTTGATTAGTCATCACATAACATAAATTTCGCTTCAAACGTAGGCGACATTATTGAAGTTGATCAACATATATACGCATAAACATAGAAACTTTACAAGCAAAGCAGTTCGCAACTATTTGTATATGCTGCGAATTGACCATTGGATCTTATCTCTGTGACTAAACACTGATCACCGCATTCACTTTACAACCTTTGGAGTTGTTGAGTTCGTTGCCTAGTTAGTTGGTAGGGTCATGGGTACATGCTGCTGGAGAGTTTCAAACTAGGACGAAACAGCCCCTTGTTAGTTTTCAATGCTATTTTCTATAGGCGATATTAATTCATGATCTTTTACCTTGGGAACCAATCAAATCCCCTTTCAAAAGTAACATTAATCTGGAATAATCCAACAGTTGTACGACAGTGCTGCATGCCAATTAATCCACAACGGGAAACTTACGGAATTCTTCGAAGTAAAGACAGGAGTAAGGCAAGACTGCCTACTACCGCCAATGATTTTCCTGATTGCGGTAGATTGGATAATGCGACAGACAACGGGCAGCGAGGAAACATGCATAAAATGGACCCTCACGAAAAAACTGGAGGATCTGGACTTGCCGATGATATATGTCTGATTTTCCACAAACTGGAAGATATGTAAGTGAAAAGCAACAAGTTGGCAGAAGAAGCATCCAGAGAAGATAGGACTTCAGGTGAACAAAGATTAAACAGAGGTGATGAAGATTCCTGGTCAACAACAACAACAGACAACAATCAGCCAGCGTAAGTGGGAGAGATCTGAAAGAAGCAACCTCCTTTACCTACTCACCTACCTGGGAAGCATCGTTTCAACTACAGACAGATGGAACTGATGAGGATATCAAAGCGAGGATCGGGGAAGCAAGACAGTCTTCCCTTACTCTCAAGTCTGTGTGGAGGTGGTCAACAGCAGTACTCAGCCTGAAAAATAACATCCGGATTTTCAACTTCAATGTGAATTCAGTCAGTGCTACTATACGGATCAGAGACTTGGCGCGTCATAAAGAGCACCTCAACAGCCGTCTTTGCTCAATACCACTGAAGATCAGATGGCCTGCCAGAAAAGATCGTAAACAGGGATCTGTGGTAATGAGTGAACCAACGCAGCAGGAACCAATTGTGCAACAAATAAGCAG